TAGTGGTACACGGTTGTGCAGAAATGAGATATTTCCGATGCAGTTCAAAGTTGTAATAAAGACACTTAGCTTCTGGTTGAGTACCTAAGTAGCTAGTACCAACTCGTTTGTGCTTAGATAAAATGTATAATAGATTATAAATAAAAGGCTAGAACATAGTAAAACTTCTCGTGCAACCAGGTTTAATTGTCTAGGAAACTTAAAGAATTAAAAACCTACCAACTACGAGACTGAAAGTCGCCGGCTAATGAAACCCACCAAGTTTTATCCCTGGATTAGCAACCGTTAGCCCGCAATTTCTTAGCCCGAGGAAACAAACCGCACTGAAAACGATTTCCGTGGTGGCTCCGAAATTGGAAAACACAAATGGAAACTGAATCCGCAGATCGGCAATCGCTGACTGATTACCCGTCCGTGGGCCAAACCACGACCCTCCAACCCGGCGGTTTTTCGTACAGGTTGTCTTCGTCCGCCGGAACTTAATTTCCGTGTCACTGTTTGGGTATATCGATTAGGGGGTTGTATTTATATAAATTATCGTCTGCTGACTAGACAAGGCTGTTGCTACACGGAACAAGAATTACTAAAATCATACGCTTTCCAGTTTATTTTAGTTTTATTATTTCTTGAGGCCTGTATTTTTAATATAGCGGCGTTACGTGCAAAATTCATATTCCTGCCTTATACGGCATTCTAGCGGCCAGAATTAATTTAAAACTAACAACCACTAGTACACCATTACAAGGGTGTGGTCGCTTCGCTGAAATTTCAAAAAAATATTTAGACAGTTATTATTTCACTCCCAGAATTTTTATTCTGCAACATATGAATTAATGAAGAGATAACAAACTATACCACAATTTTAAATAAATAGTTAACGTGGTTACGCACAAATTAAAGGTCGTACGGTTGTATTCGGGTAATAAGTAGGGATAGAGGCACAAACAAAACCCTAGTATCAGGTATCTTCTAAATAGAAACAACAAACATATCGTTAAAAACAATTCGATTTGAAAACCATCACGTTTGTATATCTTTTATAGTGCCTTTAATAATCCAGAATAATGAAGGGGTTATTGCAGCATTTACAGCACTCTTAATCCTATTGTAGCCAACTGCTCGAAAGCAATTGGGATGCTTTTAAGCAATTTTGGCTAATATTCAGTAGTGGGATCGCAGCTTTCTCCTATCGCGCAATTGTCTCTATTTTCGTTTTTTTTTTATGAAAAATGGAAAACAGATTTAATTTAAATTTGATCATTGTTAGTTAAGAACTAAGCACAAATATCAAATTGTATTGATGAATCTTATGAGACCTGCTCTCTCTATGTTAACTTTATTACGGATTATTTCAGATTTATGAAATATTATTAATAATCATTTTTAAATTCTATATAAGCCTGAATTACAATATAAAATTTAAAACTTTTCCTGTAAATAAATATTAACAAAGAGGGCTATAAAGGATTGTTTTACCTGCTTGAAATATATATGTAAATTTCAGGAATTGCAAAAAATACCGCATGTTCACTTATGTTAAATAGAAAATACGAATTATATAAAAAAAAAACATGAATTGAGTAAATTAATCAGTTAAAAAAATTATAATTTCAATTAGTCTATGCCACTCGCACGTTTTTAAATAAATTTATATTCCTTTTTTTGTGTGAAATGAGAAAGCTATTACCGACACTAATATAAAGTAATATAACACGCATCTGAAAAAAAAATTATACGAATACTGAAGACCGTGATCGAAATTGCTAGCTCGTCAATAAGCAAAAATAATTGATTCGATCGGCTAAACCCCTGGTAGCGTTTTAATAGATAAATGGAAATTTCGCGTGCCTTCCGTCTTATCTGTCGTTTTGTTGTTGAACTTTGGTAAACATGCGATAGATAATCCGCTTTGTACCTATCCCTAACATCTATCGCTGCTATATTTAGGGAGAAACGAATGTGTTACGGAACGTACAGAATCTTAACATCGATAATTTATCGGATATTGTATCAAGAATTTAAAAGTTAAGAAAGAAACAGCGGTAAATGGAAAATGGCTATATGATCGAAGAAAATTATTAATAGAATTAAATTATTAATTAAATGAAATGAAATGAAACGACAGGCATATCATCTGGAAACTGAATATTCTCAAAATAGGATTGTATATTTTTGAAGTTTCGTTTTCTGCAATCTAATAAATCTGATAATTTCTAATACGACTATGTCTTAAGTTTAAGTCAATAAATATCAAAGACCTGGGTCACAACAATAAATACATATTAAAACCGGTAAACAAATTTAACCCTAATTATCTAACAATAAATTTAATTGTGTCTACAGTTAAGAGGTATAAAGAAAAGCTATTAATAGCGACCAATCATATCGACTTTAACAATCCTCAAAAGGGGTAGGTAATACCCTTTTAAAGGTGAGGACGGTAGTATTCCACGAGCTTTTATGTCGAACAGTGAGTTTTCCGAAATTAAATAAGAATGACTTTAGTTGAAGCGTGTCCAAGAACATCTACTCCAATTTTGGAGAGGCGAATGATATTTGAGCCTCATGAAGGGTCTTATCGAAGATGGTTCGAAGAACTTCAGGAGCCCCCGACCCAAAATTTTGTTCGGGGATTGATTCCAACACGAGTATATGAAACTACCATTATTTCGGGTAAGCAATTATAAAATAAAACAGTAATTTCGCAGTTAAAAGTAGTTTGATTTCCATAATTAATTTTTTTTTATTTATTGTAGGATATTTGGTTGGGCGCAAATCAAATTGCTCTGCAGTGGCAAATGACCAAGTTGAGAAGAAAGACGTAAAACCAACTTGGAGGAACAAATTAAGAAGAATGTTAAGTACCGAAAGTTTTAAGTCATTCATGAAAACTTTCAAAATCTCCAAGAGAAAATCATCTTAAATGTATTGTGAACATATTATAAAATTATTGTAATTAATTAAGAAGCCTTTTAGTAACCTATTTTTTAAGAAATAAGTATATCCATAGAAAATTATGAATTATGATCCGCATGCGTTTTACTTAATATAAGTTACCTAAAAAGTTCTATAGCGCTACAAGGGTGGTAAACGGTATTTGAATTAAAAAGTTAAGCTACTTTTTGCAACCGTTAGTTTTTCGATACATTTTTGCAAAACAACGCGAATTCAGTGACATGACAGTCAGAATTCACAAACGGTAAAATTCAAGCCCTGCGGAATATCTCCGAAAACAACCGATTGCTCGCAAACCCGTGCGGTAATATCCTGGAAATGTCCGAAGTGGCTCGGATTCGTGGGAAACGAAACTGTAGTAAGAAAACACTTTCCGCGCGTTGGGTGGGTGTACAATTAGCTATTTTACCATTTTATTACTGTAGAGTGATTTTCAAAAAATAAACACTGGCACTGTAAAGAAGTAGTAAGTGGACATCATAGACCTGGCCATATTTTTCTTGGTGCCCAAACTTTACGAGTGAAAATCGAACATGGCTTCTGGTATGAAATCAAATTCCTTTATACCCGGTGGTGTGATGTGAGAAAATATTATTTTTAAAAAGTTTGAAAATATTAAAGTAAAACCCAAAACTCTATAATTATATTAAAACTAAACAAAACTTAGCCCTTTGGAGTCCTTAGAAACTTCGGATAGGAAAACACAAGCTTATTTGTCATTAAAAATATAAATAAACCTTTGTTACGAATATATAATATTCGTGACATATTTGGGATATGTATGGTTTGGTTGTCGCCGACAAGGAGGCCGGTGATGATACTGAACCAAGAATCCGAGAATTGCGCTGGCTTTGTTTAAAGTTCAGACACGAATGATATTTCGAACAATTAAGATAAAATTGTGATTAAAAGTCTTGCGTCGGATGCGAAACTGTAACGGTTGCATTTTGATAGTAATTATTACAAGTAATATTTCTCAAATGCGAATTGTAATATTGAACCTTTTCTTGTTATTTGCTTAGATATTGTTTGTAAGCGTGAGAAACTTTTTTTAATAATATATTAAACAATATTTTTACTATGGGAAACCGAACGTTCCTGCAACAAAAGTTTTAAAATCTGATATGTTTTTCTAAAAAGGTAACAATTATTTCATAACCCTGTTTACTTCAGTAGGTAAGCTTTTTTACTCATAATCTTAAAATACGCAAGTCAATATGGCATTTGCAAGAAAACCTTAAATTGATTAACAACAACCGCAAACATGTGCTGCAGTATTTTTAAAAATTAGGTTAATTAACTTATACCTCTTGTCAATTTTTCCGAAATATTTCAACTATAAATTTTTTTTAAAACGTTACATACACTGAGAAATATATCGGCAACAATTATTTGCGAAGAGATTATGTTGCCAACGACAGTAATTATTTTATTTACTTGATTTGCAGAAGTACCAAAGCACTACTGCAGCTAAAATGAAAAAATATATATGTTCCACTTTTCTATAGTAGGCACGAACTTTGCTAAACTAAAAAAAATCAGTTTCGTTCCAGGTTTTGCCCAGGTGGCGTTTTGAAAAATATAGGAAATATTTTTTCAGTAGCTGGTGTTTGTGTTTGCAATTTTATGTTGTGTACTGTAACATCGGACAATCTTTAGAAAAATATTTTGAAGTGACACACGCCTAAATTAGTTGATGGGAACCGGAGGAAATATATAGCATATTTGTTTTCTGTAATTTTCTGCATACTTTAACTATTATAACCACTGTAAAAAAAAACTCTAGCAAATATTACTTTCTACTCTAGCCTTACCACAACAAAAAAAACGAGTATAGTAGCAAAAATACTTTATCAAGTCAGTAAGAAATTTTGCCCATGGCACCAATATGATTTGCTGAAGCAAAAAAAATAATTACGGTTACCAAAAGCTGTTTAGTGTTATCTGTATTACTACGGTGTCAACGAAAACTTAGCAAAGTAAATTTTGCTCTAGACTTTTTAGCAGTTGAAGATAATTTTTGAAAATTATTATCGCACCTGGCACAAGGTCAATACGTTAGCGAAGAAAACCATGGGAAACCGTCAAAAACTTAAACGTAAAATGACAACTACGACAACAAATCGATAGAATTAACCATGGCCGTAAAGTTAACTTTGCAATTGATTTTAAGGGTATCTGCTTGGGTAATTAGCATGTCTGCATCAATTCGAGTAAATTTTCGACTTCTGTGTTGTTACACTGTAGATTTTATGCATCATCGCCATAGCTCTGCTAGCCGATTATATCGGGGGCGAACACGTTGGTTATCGCTTCACGGCTTCTAACGATGCCCTCAAAATAGCCAATGGATCGTACATCATCATACTGAGCGTTCTTCTGGGCTTCGCTGTTTTTCACACGGAACCTGAGAAAACCGTAGAAGGAATGCTGTTGGCCATCGGATTCATATTATGTTTTGCTGGTTGGTATATACCTATATATAGTTTAAATACTTTAATTCATGCTTTTGCGGCGTCATGTAGCTTAAGCTCAATTTTAAAAGCTCAAAGCTTACATTATCCCAGAACCAGGCTTTCAGGGGTTGAAAACTGGTACAAAAATCGTGATAGGGGTTGAAAATAGGTAAAATAGTTCTTTGAAACCTTGAAACTATAAATAAGAATAGGAAATAGTATATTATGCAACAAGTACGATAAACGGCATTTGAGTCACGAGTATATTGGCACGAGCGGCGCGAGTGTTTAATAAACGAGTGAGTAAAAAAGTTTACTAAATGTGTTGCATACTGTACTTTTTCCACGAGCGTTACTTTTAAGGTTATTTTTTAAGGATCCTATTACCAATAATCCTCTAATTAGTAAATTGTGAATCAGTATCCTTAATGTTAATTGCCTTCTTTATCTGTACGTATAACAAAACGCTGCAGAGAGATTATTTTGTCACATTTCAGAGCAAAGGGATAATTACTGTTCCATGATAGTCAAAATATCAACGGTATAATGCATATTTTCAGGCGGTTTGGCTGTAATAGTGTACTTCTCCGATCACAAGGGCCTGCATATCGGCTACCTATTCAGCGGAATCATGTCCCTTGTAGCAAGTGCAATCATGTTCGTGGATTGTCTCGCTGCTTTTAACTTTATTTAATTGAATTTTAATACTAATAATAAATTTTCTTTAAGTATTTATTATTTTATGATTTATTATTATATTACCAACATAATTCCAATTCACTCTCCAATCGAACTAAACTACCACCCAACACATGTATGCTAGGCTGGGTAATATTACTTTCTAACCTGACTAAAATAGTAGATTATAGCCCTCTCGTACCGTCGTTCACCAGAGGTTTTGTTTTCGTTTAATTTGCATGGGAAGATTTGCACAGGTGCCTTGCGAATTTAATGATATAGAACAGTTCGAAATCAGTTCTAAAATGAAATCAACACAAGGTAAATGTTAACCTTGTTCTGTATCAGAATAACGCTTCTTGTCTTAAATAAAACCATGTTCATAAATGTGAAAATGAATGATAGACAGTCCTAAAATTTTATGTTGGTGATCGCACATAGCCCCTGCGTAAAGGCAATAACGCACGAACTTATGAAGCAACTATGGAAAAATTGTTGAAGTCCATTTGACATACGCATGCGCGAGATTTAAAATCTCGTTTTTAATCAATGACTTTGCGGCATTCGACAACCAACATGGCCGCTGACAGATCTTCAGTATATTTCAAGATCTCGTTAAATGTTCTGGGAAAAAGAGTTAAGTGTGTGGAAAACGTTGCTTGCAAAAGAAAATATCAATGCCGCCTGCGGCGCATCAATTTTTACCGTAGTAGAGCCACTCTGTTATCCAATAGCTATATGGATGGTAGTGATCCAGACCAAGTTCTAGGATTTTTAAGACGACAGCATTGCAAGTCCAGCAGATCGAGTACGAATTACGCATGTCGTACTTGAAAAATTAAGCGAATGCGCTTTGAGCATAGTAAAAATTTGGAAGGTAAAAAATGAAATATAGCTTCAGATATGCTAATGGTGGGTTTGTAAAAAAAGAAAAATCGCTTAGCAATTAGATAATTGTTGCTTTCTAACAAATGTTGACGTTATTGGCACTATGATTCTACGTGTTTTTTTTTAATGTCACCGTCCTTTTATTAAATTCACAGTTAATTGCTGAAACAGCGCCATCTTAACATAGATCCGCCTATGAGTAAATATCCTACGCAACTAGCAATTAAAAGCAGAAAGTTGAGCTACTCTAATCGTTAATAATTCTTAATTGTAAATTGAGTTTTATAAACCAACAATTTGTTGAACAAAATGATTTGTTACTTTCGCAAATGTCAAATGTCGGTTGTATGATTGTTCTTTTAATTTTGTCCATTTAGAAATGGTGATTTTTATCAGACTTTATTATTATTTTATATTATTATTTTATAGTACTTTTTTTCAAGAAACAAAAAAAATTTCATTAAATTAATTATATTCAACTCAATGCTGAGTCAGACACATTCGGATCATCCTTCGCACCCTTGGCTTCAGCAACTGTTGGTTCCAACTTTTCTGGGTGTTTTCTCTTCTTATGTTTGTGCAACAATGTGGAGTCTCGGTAGCGGCGAACACAATAGGGACACTGAAAAGGTTTCTCTCCTGATACCCCAGGGTTATTAGTTTGGAGATTTTACAAAGGAAGCAGGGGTTACCTGTGTGAATTCGAATGTGTGACGTCAAATTGCTCTGGTAAATGAATCTTTTGTGACACCAGCTACATTCAAATGGCCTCTCCTTATTGTGTGTGTAACTGTGAGCTGTTAAGTTAGCAATTTGTTTGAAAGCTTTGCCGCAGATCTGGCATAGGTATGGTCTGGCGTTCGAATGGATGCGCATATGACGTCTCAGACCCAACTTTGTCGTGAGCGTTATTTTGCAAACCTTGCATTGGTTTTGGTCCGGTAATTTGATTAGATGTCCGCTGCGGTGCAGGTCGAGCGAAGTTTGCTGATCGTAAATTCGACCGCATGACTCGCAAATGTAGATATGGTGGCTGGGCAGGTGGATGCTGAAATTTGTTTTGGTGGGGAAACTCTGTTCGCACAGACCGCAAGTGTACACCTCTGTTTCCTGATGGGTTTGCCTGTGATCCAAGTATTCAGTTCCCGATTTGACCGTCTGAAACAAAAACAAAGAAAAGCAATACTTTGGGACAAAAAATTATTTAGTAAGAAACGCTAGCAAAGGCTTTTGTTAAAGTGAAATTAAATCGACGATGCTCTTGCTAGTTATCCCTCCACCATCATGCCGCACGCGGCTGGAAAGGGGCAGTTAAGTTGCGCAGTCCCGGTGGGAGAGGAAATGTTTAACATTATGCCTTTTTTTCAACATTACCTCATGGCAAAACTCGCAATATACATTAATTTTCTTGCCACACATGCCCACACGATTTGTGTGTCCATTTTCCATATGGCATTCCAAAGCATGTTTCGTGGAGTATCCTGCAAATGATAAGACTTATATTAAGTAATACATTTCTCTTGTAAATAAGTAAAAAATAAAATATAGTCAAAACGCAAGTACTGTACAGGGTGTTCCAAAATTAGTCTTGAATACTTTAACCACATATTTTATGACCTAACGCAGAAATGGACAGGAGTAATCCTTCATTTTTAATATGACCTGAATATTATTTGGGATATCAGAAATATCAGTTAAATTAAAAATAATAATTAAGACCGGGAAATATTATATATGTACTACTTTTTTCATCCCCCACCATTGTTTATTTATAACTGGAATTATAATTAGAATTATCAAAATATACAACAATAGATTTCAGAGAGGGAACTCCCATGTAATACAAACCTTTGCCACATACAGAACACAAAAACTCTTTTCCAATTTCATGAATACGCATGTGCCGCACATATGAGGTGTCATGTTTAAATTCTTCTCCACATTTTGGGCAGTGATATTTTTCAGTTAGGCTATGGTTTTTTACATGTTTGTTTCGCGACTTTTTAGAATTAAAAGTTTTTGAGCACAAGGGACAAGTAAAGGGCATACTGTGATCAAACTGCTGAATATGTTCATTAAGCTTCACCTCTGAATTAAAATATGTGTAACATTTCCGGCATGAATAATGGCTTGCGGCATGAATGCTCATGTGGTACTTTAGCCGTTCTCCATCTAAAAATAAATGATGGTAATATTAAGTTATTTTTAAATTAGGGAATAATACCTAATGATTTAGAACAAATAGGGCAGCTTCTTTTCTCCCTATGATTTTCAAAGTAGTGCTCAATTAACTTATGCACATTAACAAACTTTCCATTGCAAAATTTGCAGACCATTGCTTCTCCATTCTTATACAACATTTTTGGTCGTTCTCTTTTCTCTGCTACAAAATTTAAATATGAATAGATTCCAATGTGTAGAAAAATGACATACTTTTCTTGAAAACTTTTTCTATTTTTGGTTGTTCTTTTTTCTCTGCTGCAAATTTAAATGTAAATAGATTCCAACTTACAGAAAAATAACATACTTCTGTTTAAAACCCTTTCTGTCACCTTTTGCAAATCTCTTGAAGCTTCAGGTTTAGAAACTTGAATTTTCTCATTGAAGCAAGTGTTTTCCAGATCTTTAATTTCATCACAAGCTCCAACATCATTTCTAAACTCTAATTTAACCTTTAAAGTACCATTTGCTTTAGTCCAATTCAAAGCTTTACTTAAGATTTGATCTGACTGCTTGAATGTTTCAAAAATGTTGTAAGAATTACAAATGGCACTAAGGCAAGGGGCGCATATTTGCTGTGGCTTTTGGTCATTTGTCTCCACCTAAAATGATTTAAGAAGAAATCTCAATATGCTGGCAGTTAAATTTTGTTAGCTACCTTAATGTTGCAGTATTTTCCAAAAATCGATACCAAATCGGTTTTACCGGGATTACTTGAAGTACTTTTGAAATTATCCAGTAGGTTAACTTCATAAATTGAAATCATCTCACTCTGTTCCATAAGGCAAACACGACAAATAGAGTCAACTGAGCATGGTGGAATAGAAAAAGCCAACATTTGAGTGGCAGTCATTTTCAATAAATGTTAATTAAGATGTCAAGCATGAGCTGAATTTTAGAAATACAAAAAGTGGACACCACAGCACAAAACAAATAGAATCTCCACAGTAATTAACAAACATTGAAATTTTATTAATGATACCTATTTTCTTATAACCTATTAACAAATATTACGAAAAAGAATGATACATATTCCTTATTTCAACATCATTTTGGAGCTACATCAAATAACAATTTGATGGTAACAGTTTGTAGTTAAAAATTTTTGGTTGGACTGGTGGTTGATGATTCTTCAAACGATTTTTTGTTCCTGTATTGTTTATTTGAATCTAGAAAACTATTATTTTTTATTATGCCAAATTATAGCGGGTGTTACAGAATGCGTAACTCACATATTTAATTATTAAGGCATTCCCTAAGGTGTACAGTTCTTCAGTTATTGTTATATAATTAAATACAATTATATTGTACAAACTAAAATGTGCATAAAATAAATATAACCTGTAAAAAATTTGTTCCTAAAAATGCCACCTACTTCTTCTTTCTGATGGCCAAGGTTGGTGTGGGCATCTGGTCACAAAATGTCATATCAAGAAACTAGTTAATTACAGATCACAGAATAGCAATTCCATTTTAAGCGACAAGTGATTAAGTATATAGATTCTACAATTGTTTGCCATTTCAAAATTTCCCAAGTATCTGAAGACTAAAGTGACCACCATTTTGTGAAGCGGTGGTCTTAGATTTCTTAAGGTGTTGTGACAGTTTATTAAATTTATTGGGGTAAGTTCATTTGACGCACAAAATGAGCAATCGCGGAATACCTGTACCATGGACCGAGGATCTGCAAAATCATTGAAACTTCTAGGCGACGGCATGTACAGAATATTTGGAATTAGTCTGTGAGAAATTTTCTCCTATTTTTTTTCTCACGAGTTACCTAAGCATCATCGCACACTACCGGCATCCGTCCATGGTTTATTCTTCCAACACATTAACTACTACGTCACCACCTACCCGAAGTGTTTAAAAGTCGAAAAGGATTTTGGTGTTACTATTTTTTTTAATAAATCGTTAATGTCCCATGAAGTCTATGAATAAAACAACAAACAAATTAAATAGCTATATTAAAACTTATTTTTCGGCAGCCGCGTAGTGTTTTATAAACCTGGCGGATGGATCTGTAACGCCTTCAATCCATCTGGGCATCCAGAAATAGGGCAAGAAATTTTCTGCCATTTTCGGATAATTCTTCTCGAACGTGGTTCTGTAGTATAATGCCTCTTTAGTTTTTGGGGTACAATGGGGGTAGTTCTGGGAAACGATATCCTGAACAAACGGTTCGGGCATTCTCTTATCGATAATCTCCTGCAGGATAGTAAACAAGGACTTCTTTGTGGAGGCTATACCGTCGCTTTAAACAAACCGTGTGGTGAGACCTTGCGGAGCAACGCTAAATTCTTACCTGAAAGCTTCTTTAGGTCTCCAGAGAATATCGTGAGGTAACAAATTTAATTTGTCGAAAGCGGACCTCAGAAGGTACTTCTCAATGCCATCTTTCGGTCTTCTCAATTCTGGATCTATGTTGAGGTAGTAGTTTGTGAACTGCAAATCCAGAAATGGTACTCTAAGTTCTAAACTGAAAATTGCAAAAGTTTTGTGTTTATATATTTAGTGGACGTAAGGACGATATTTTCGTACAGAAAAGAATGATATGCGCATGTATGTAAATTTCACACTCTAACCTGCAATTTGAGCCATCTCTATGCACTTATGCCGCTTTTTTCGCTACTCAGAATATAACCAATGCGCAAGCTTACCACTAACTAATTCAGAATTCTGCGAACGAACCGCGGGATTTTATGAATTTGAATATTTAGGTACACATTTGCCAAATAAAGATCGCTTTGAAAAGTAGTTGTAATATACCCATATTAATTAATTGTTAAGTAGACTAATCCTGTTTTATAATTACCTATATATGAAAATAAGAAGTTTTTCTCGATTACTGATTTTCCCCGCACTACTGTAAAAATTGATTATGAGATGGGAATGACATTCCGCTCGTGCCTCTACATTTCACCCGATTACCTGCATTTTAGGAAATTTTCTTTCTAAATAGGTCGTTTTTGCCTAAAAATTTATTTTGGTGCATCCAAACTTATTGGCGGTGTGTCAGCGGCCATATTGGTCATATTATCATGAAAAATATTGAGACGGGCCACTTAATATGCGCATTCGCGGTCGTTTTATGACCCGTTTTCAACCAATGAGGTTAAGTGGCGTTCAACAACCAACATGGCTGCTATATTTTTTCAAAATATGAGGGTGGGTCGAAAAGTTTCTGCCATGACCAAGAGGTGGCACCACTAGATCCACTTTTGGAGGGGCGACCCACAGTACCCTTCCGACCGAGCTGATTCAGCCCAATCGATACGTTATTTTCCGTTTGACACGATATTGTGCGAGAAGCTTTCGTTGTTGTCATGAAAATGGGAAATTTGGAAAAACGTACTATCATCAAATACTTCTATACTTTTCACAAAACTTCTGGATTCCTCCTACGTCGATTTTTGTTGAATCAAACTTGCCGATGTTTCACCAATCATCGTGTTGACTTCTTCAGAGCTTAACTGAAACTGGCTCGCATTTTGCTCTGTACCTGTTTATATATTATTTGAGGGGGGCGAAGCTAAATGAGGGCCAAGTTTCTTTGAAAAATCAAATACTTCTATTTCAAAAGTTTTACACCAAAACAAATTAAAGAAGAGATGGATTCGGCACTAGAAAACTTCTCCCTATCATATTCAACTATTAAGTAGTAGGTTTGAATTTCAAATAGACCGTGTAGGCACATCAGACGAGCCTCGCTCAAGACTCCCGTTGAGGTCACAACTTAAAAAATGGTTGAAAAAATCCATCAAATAGTGTCGGAAGACCCCAGGTTGAAAGTGCATAAGATAGCTGAGACCTGTAGGACGCCAGCTAAACGTGTGCGCAATATTTTTGCAAAACCTTTTGAGCATGGAAAAGCTGTGTGCAAGGCGGGTGCCGCGTTTGCTAACGCTCTACCAAAACTTGATTCGAAAAAAACAATTCTTCCTACAATTTCTTGCTTTGTATGTGTAATTCAAACGAATGTTTGCATGGATTCATAACTGTTGATGAGACTTGCGTCCGCCACTACACTCCCGAAAATAAGGAACAGTCAAAACAGTGGGTCGCAAAAGGGGAACCAGCTTCAAAGAAGGGTAAAACAATTTTATCTGCAAACAAGGTTATGGTCACTATTTTTTGAATGTGAGAGGAATTATATATAGGGTAAGACTATTACTAGTCAATACTACGCAGAGTTATTGCAATGTTTGAAGCCAGAACGTGCAAATTAAACCACTTCATTTGGCGGGAGAAAGAAGTGAAATTTAGTGGTTGAAATTTAGAGACATGCGCCAAAATATCACAGTGTCCCAAGACATGATTTTTAATCATTGGATGCATTTAAATAGGTTTTCTACTCCCTTCTGTAAAATATCTAAATATACACCGATGTAGCGTACGGATCCGAACCCCTTCGGACAATTCCGGGATATTACCGTACGGGTTTCGCAGCAATCGGATGTTTTCGGAGATTTGACCGCACGGCTTGCATTTTGACGTTTGACAATTCTGACGGTCATGTCAGTGAACATATTCGTGTTGTTTTGCAAAAATGTACCGAAAATCTAACGGTCGTAGAAAAAGTATAGTTTGCAACAGTTTCAGTAAACTTTTTAAATCACTCGCTCCGCTAGTGCCAAATAAAGTCTTGACTCAAATGCCATTTACTACACTTGTTGCATAGTATACTATTTTCCTACTTCCTTCTGTAAAATACTTAACTATACATCGATCTATCGTGCGGAAAATGTCATTTTACTACGTCAGTTTCGTTTCCCATGGATACGAGCGAACATTTTCGGGATATTACCGTTTGGTGAATGTTTTCGCGTTGATTTACCAAAACTATAGTATACACTTTGGCAAACTTTTTAAGTTACAAGTGTATTTGACACGAGCAGAGCTCAGCATCTCAAAGCTATCGCTTACTTGGTATAAATATATCTATAAAATTTACTGAAATCGGAATTTTTCCCGAACATAATGATCTTGCTTTGGGTACCTGCGCAGTGGATATTCAATCCAATAAGAAGGGTAATGATAGTTCTTGTTCAGTTCACTACAAGAACAAAAGTGAGGTCTCAGCCTGCTTAGTCATATGCAACTACGAACGATGGTATTAATCTTGACTAGGATACTATTCTAGAAAGCACCTTCATTGAGGGTGGGGGCGACCTTACACATAGGCTGCGCTTATAGGAGAAGCAGGCTAATTCATTAAGTCCCAAGAGTTTGGTTTTGTGTATTTTCTCGAATGTAGAAGTGTTTTAAACCATGTTCCAAATTGAATAAATGAAACATCTCTTGGGCGAACTTAGGCTTACCTTTGGGCTGCCATCGTTCTGTCAGCCCGCAAGCCGTCGAACAGATAAATTTCTCTCAACAGCCTCACGCTGTCCTCATGTGCAGCTTTCGCATCCGGAGCATCCTTAAAGTAAATATATCCCTGCGCCACTTCGTCGCTGCCTTCCCCGCTAAATAGAACGGTCGTGTCGGTGTTGTCGAGGACGTATTTGGCAATCAAGTACATCCCTATCGATGCCCTGATGGTTGTTATATCTGGCGTTTCCAGGGTGTATATGACATCATCCAAAACACTGGCGATATCTTCCTCTGTGAAGATGACCTCGTGGTGTTCGGTGCCGATAAAGTTCGCGACTTCGCGAGCCTTGGGCAGGTCCGGACTGCCTTCCATACCTATTGCAAAAGACTAGGACGCGCATTATTTGATGGTCTTGAGCGATGGAAAGGTAAAACTATAATACAAGGTGTTCCGTATTATTATGAGAATATTTTAGGATGCACAGGAGCTTACATAGGGTGTTATTCGATAAATATCAGGTAATTCACGGTGCGATTTCTCAAGTATTATAAAGTTAAAACTTATTTCTGAAAAGCTTCGTTTTGTATTTTTGGAGGTGGACATTTCCAACATTTTTTGTGATTTTAATCTGGTTTTCACCACTGGTATTCGCCTTTTTAATGTTGTTTAAAAATAATTTCTGTTTATTAAGAGAATGTTATTTTACAAAATTCTTTCACTTCAAATTAAAATATTTTGAAAATGGTTGTTATTAGCGACTTTTAATAACGTCACATTAATGAAGCTTTGACATTTTGTCTCTCCAAAACGAAGCATTTCATAATATGGTCTATGCCAAGTAGTGTTAGCTTTACAATTTGTTTTGTTTCTAATGATAAATGATTCCGACGCGACAGACTCGTAAGAAGAAACGGGTTATTCGACAGTGCTTGACTTTCCCCTTCTTGTCCTCTACGTATGAATTAATTATTGCTTCTGGGATTTATGCAGGTCAGTCAATAGCCAAGACGATATCTTTGAGATACACCGTAACTTTTTATCTTAAACATACTTGAGAAATCATCATTTACATGATTAGATTCTTATTACATAAAATCCGTTCTTCCATTATATTCGCATATAATTAACGAATGATCTATGTAAAACACTTTACGTTATACCCTAATAAATGGCATTGTTTTATCAGTGTTATAATTACCTGTATTTTATATGGCAAGTTCACCTTCTTTGCCTCTTGCACCAGCAGGGCGGCTACAAGGGACGAATCCAGTCCACCCGACAGCAGACATCCTAACCGCCTATCGGCCATTAATCTCTTTTTCACAGCCATCGTCAGCAGCTTTACTATATTCTCCTGGTGCTTATTTGGAAGAAGATCTGAGACAATAGTAGACGTAAAACTCTATTTACTTTTAGGCGAAATTAGTTTACCTTCCCAAGGCACGAAAGTCTTAAAGGAAGGTTTCACCCCTGGTAGAAAATATGTCTCGCTCCGTACCAGTTTAACAGTTCCGTTCTCCAGGATATCATACTCCTCATAACTACCTGGAGGGAATGGTTTTAAGATTTTGGAATGTCCGTTTAATTCATCCCCAACGCCTGTCAAACCTTAAACAAAGGAAAGTACTCTATGAACTGTCGTCCTCATTCGGGTCTAAAGGCAGTTCTCGGTTGGAATTACTTCATAACGTTTCGCCAGCACGAGTGGCCGAAGTTGAACATAGAAGATCTCTGAAAGTAATTCCAGCTGCGACGGCGTTTAGACCCGAATCAGGAAACAGTTTATCAACATAATAACTGCTATACTTATAATTATTATTATATTTTATACAATAAGTCGAAAATTTAGACACGCATAATTGAAGAGTGCAATAAAGGAAAACATATTAAAGTTAGCGTCGCAATAAAACTGAATAATGTGTTATAAATGGGCTGCAAAAACTACACAGATTACAGGAACATTAAGATTTTTCTCTTTGTTTGCAGATATTTTATTTCATGATGGGGTCTAAGTAACTCCCAAATAGCTAGTACTTTAGTTTTAGAGTATAACGTTGCTGTTTTTATTTTTTGAAATTATTTTTGATATCAATTCATGGTTCCCAAGTATTCTGAAGTGGGTATGAAGATTTTTCATACCTTAAAATTGAATGCAAATCGTATTGTTCATCTGAAATGATACTTTTAATGATTGCATAACATCAAACATCAAGCGATCAGATCTCCACAAAATCTTAAAGATGACGAGCAATCAAGAAGAGCGAAATATTAATAGTATATTATGGAAGTAGTGTGGTAAACGGTTTACCAAAGGTATTGCATATACTTTTTCTACAACCATTAGTTTTTTGGTACATTTTTGCACAACACCACAAATTCATTCACTGACATGCCCGCCAGAATCGACAAACGTTGATATTGAATCCGTGGGTAATATCCCGAAATTGTACCAAGGGGATAGCAACCATAGAAAACGAAACTGACGTTGTAAAATGGCACTTACCGCATGCTAGATCGGTGTATAATTTTTAGTTTATTAGGCACTGCCGGAGCGAGTGTTTAATCAACGAGTGATTTAAAAAGTTTACTAAAAGTGTTGCATACTATACATTTTCTACGACCGTTAGTGTTTGGGTACATTTTCGCAAAACAACACGAATACATTCACTGTCATGACCGTCAGTATTGATAAACGTCACAATTTAAGACGTGGGAAATATCTCCAAAAATTTGCTCCCAAACTAGTGCGGTAAAATCCCGGAAATGTCCGAAGTGACTCAGATCCGTGGGAAACGAAACTGAAGTGGTAAAGTGACGCTTTCCGCACGCTGGATCGGGATATAATTTAGTATTTTACAGAAGGGAGTAGAAAAATATTTGTAAGTGACTTGGTACTTATCGATAAATTTAAGTTATTTTTGTTGTACCAATATAGATACTTCCGCTCTTTATTGTTTCTCACATTTATTTGCGCCCTTCAATTGTAAGTAATTCATATGTTTAATTGTATAAATTTATTGAATTTATGTACCTTTTGCCTCAGAGCAAATGCCTAACACTCCATCGGCACTAAGTATTCGAAACAAAGGTCGAACGCCGTAGGGATCCCTGCCTAGTAGTACCTTTCTTTTTGATACATCTACAATACAAAATGCGAACACACCGTCCAAGCTCTTCACGCATTTTTCGATGCCGAACTTTTTATATAAGTGGAAAATGCATTCGACATCACTGAACGTCTCGTAGTTGAAGGAATGTTCTTTCGCTAACTGAGAAAGAGATACTTCACGAATGAAAAACAAATAATATTGGAGTGAAGACTACAACAACGGAATATCTATACTAAGGGGCAAAGATGTTCAAAATTTGTTAGAAACATTCCCAAAAATTATCTCTCAATAATGGTAATGAGGTACGGTATTATAAAAACGGTTGTTATAGTCCTAGAAAATTTTGAAAAGAATGTTGTTAAGTAAATTGGCAGAAAGAAAATGCTGAAAACTATTTTCCAGTTTTTGGAATTGTAATTGTAATAAAATTCAATTTTTTTTTGTGTAATACTTTTAAGTAACTGAACAAAAATAAGTTTCTAGTTTGCTTACGGGCACACATATGATACAGTAACGTAAATAAGTTTTTTAAAACAATTATAGAAGATTGTCACTCACTCCAAAAGAGACAAATATGTTGATATTGCAAAACAGTTGCAACAAAATTGAAAAATAACTGAATTGAATCAAAAGTCGATAATGCCATTAGAGAAAAGAACGTACTTCTTTGCAGTTGTAGAGTTCACCATTACAGATAAGCATGGAATGGGGATACTGATGCAGTTTCATTGGTTGCATCCCATAAGTGCAATCGACAATCGTAAGCCTATGGAAACCAACACAACATCGCTGAAAAATATAAGTACCTGATTTAAAAAAAAACATAAATTCGCAAAATTTTAGTATTTAAATGAACAACTACTAAATAACTAATGAAATCGATGCTTGAGCGAAAAATTAAATAAAAAAAATGAGTTAAGTTAAAAATTAACAAAAATAATAAAAAATCGACTACAAGAGCGAAAAATCGGAATACGCTTAAATATTCTGCGGATGTAATCTGTTAAATTTGTAAGTCAAAGGTTTTATAGAAGATAAGGATTTTGTCAATATTACAACAAATTCCAATTTTGCAAGACTGGTTTTGTTTACGGAATTAAAAAGAACTAATCCTAGATTTTTAGAATTTCGACTACTTAAACAATGGTACCTTAATTTGTCGATCGTATTCGACCCTCCAGGCGTCAGGTCCTCTATGAGATATTTTAGTGAAAGAATTTCCACACACCGTATGGAGGTTGGAGTCTAAACCGAATATTGCCCAAATACCGCACATTGTGATCTAAAAAATATTGATGATCTGCTCATTACTATAACTCCTAGACTTTTTTTCTTCAAAAATTTAGATTTTCTGGTTGCTTAGAATTATCTTTTGGCTTTGGAAAGATATGAATGTGTCAGCTTTAAATTTAAATAAAAATAAAGTTAGGTACATCAATATTATCAAACCAGTTTTAGTGTTATTATAAAATTAATTATAACGCAGTTTTATTTTTGGGTTATTTTTTGAGCCTAAATTTTAATAATATATATAGTTACATTCAAAGTTTAAGATTCAAAAATCCAAATTTTAGTGCATGTCTATATTCATCAATCACATATTTTAATTTGCCGGTTTTCAAATGCATATTAACGTATTAATATTCCACATCAAATTATACGTACGTAATAAAATAATGTTCCTTTGACCTAAACTATTCACGACAATTTTTAAGATTCTTTTAGGTCTTTGAGCGTCGACAACACAACACGAATGTTCAACCTGATGTAATCTTCAGGCAACACGAGTGATTGTTATTTTTAATTTTTCCACTCCAACTTCAGCAACCAACGCAACGTTGCCAGGTGCTTTAGACAAAATTCTTAAGAATTAATAATAAAAATGGCACAAGTTTATTGCTTAATAATGAAAAAGGAAAGCTTGACATTCTATGGTGGTATATTTTAAGTAGATCCGTATATAATTCAAATAAATCGTTTTAAATATTAGTGCTAATTGTATAAGGAATGAATTATGGATGAGTGACGACATAGAAGCAAAATATTTAAAAATAAATAATTAAGAAATTCTCTTTTTGTTATATATATATAAATGAGTTTTCCTTTCAGTCAAGAATGATCTGAAAAAGGGTTGTAATTATTTATTTTTATCGTTTCGACTGACGTGAATCAGCAAAGTGAAACTGAAAAAAAGTAGCAATTATGTTATGAAAATATATGTCATAAGGATTTTATTCAAATAGTAATTTTTATTTAATTTTAGTCGAAATATTAAATTTGTCTTTATTCATTCATTCTATATTGTGAATTCTTCACAAAGAGTGATCCAAAACGCCTTTTAGAAATCATTGTTGATGCAATCAGTATTTGCTTGTTCGTTATAAAAATAATGACAACGTGACAACATCGAACAAGTTAACTATATCGATTCCTTTCATGCGTCTCACTTATGAATTGACTCCACGTTGCAAAATTAGGTTAGGAATCGGAAAACGTGGTATTCTGGTTTTGTCTAAAAAAAATGATTGCTGAAATTCATCCCTTAAAAGGAAGAGGTATTCGTTTAGCAATACTGCTAAAGACATTTTCAATGAGGCTAATGGCTTGTACTCTATAATAATCTACTGGGATTAGATATGTTTGGTATTTTAAAGGATGTAATAAAAGACGTCAAATTGCATTTAGGTACCATAAAGTTCATCATTTCTAAAGAGCAAGAATATGGTGAAAAGAATATTTTAATTTAAGTCCATTTTTTCTTTTTTGGGATCAAGGAGGCGGATCGATTTTCTTTGGTATTTAAAAAAATATATTTAGTAATTTAGAGGTGGGCAAGATTTAGAAATGTCACTAAAATAAAGACATGTTTTACTGTACACGATAGAACTGTCTGTAGAATTTTTCGAGTAATTTTTCTTTTTTCGCTATTATTTATTCCTATCATTTTCAACACTCCCTTCGTAATAAAACAAAAATGAACATCAGAGACTTAAAAAACCTTATCAAGTCAGATAATCAGCTTCATTTCATTTTTTGCCTGGATGTGGGACAACTAGCGAGACCAATTTTAATTGCCAAATGTTTATAGCCAAAGTTGCCAAGTGAGAGACGGACTTTATAAAATAAACTGGTGTGGCCACCTTGTGGGAAGCGTTCCAATCGATTCTTATCGATTCAAGATTACTGTATTAGCAATTCCGACGTATTTTTAAGTCGGTACGTGAACATTCTGAGAACTATATGGGATATCATAAATCAAACAAAATTTTTATAATTAAATGTTTTATTGCCTTTGTTGATCTAGTTGGAAACAAAGCGGCGCACATGTATCTATATGTTACTGGATATAAATACATCTGCCCAATAGACATACGATTTAATTATTTCTAAAAGATGCCCTTCAATCGAATAAACAATCCATCATTAAAATTGTTGAAGCTGCGTTAGCTCCCAAAGAATCTCCACCAAACCTTTTGCTATCGACATTTAAGCATCTCAAAGAACCCGAAGGTCTACGCAAAAGAGCGGTGTTTTCTCGAGACGCACTATTACTTGTAAGCTCCACAAAACTTTTCTTTTGACAATTCGTACCGCACCTGAAATAACGTTTGATAAATGTTGTTTTTCTACATCTTAATTATCAGAAATTTTAGAAGTCATGATAAAATTGGTCATGCGATTGTAAGAAAATTTCACACCAGGATGTGTGGAACTTTGAGAGTGTTTTTGTTTTCCTTTGACCGGACACACACGCAGTTGATCGGACTTTGTAATTCAGTTGCAATGGTGCCTAATAAGTAAAATATCCGTAAATGTAGTCAAACAAAAAGGAATTGACTGTTATGTACATGCATTGGCCTCTCAATCTTTGAAGAAAAGAAAGTTTGATTGATTAAAAACTGGGTGTGGAACTTCAGAGAAATTTTTGGTGTTTGTTTGGTTGTCATACTAACTTTGAAACAATTTCTTCCACTATTCGTTGTTCCTTTTCGCTTAATGGGCCATTTAATATTTTTTTAGTTTGATTTCCCGTCATAAGCCTACAAAAATTGCGTCGCGTACATATTTAATTTTGAAATTATGATGGCATTACTTATGGCATCTTTCGTATTTAACGATAATTTTATTCAGGGTTTCTATGTGTTTCGTTGAAAACTGATCGTCCATAACATTACGAAATAATATTTCTCTCCCTAAAGTACTTTGATTGTCAATGTTGTCAACCCGTTTCCTGGTCAACATTTCCCTGAGCTCTGAATTTTCCCTAGTCAATAAATCAACGCGGGCTTGGAAAACGTTTTGCTTTTCCACGTTTGTCAGCCACGTCTTCTCTTGTCTAATTACAAGATCCTTTAAGTACTTGACCGTATTTACCAGTCGCTCCATTTCGCTCCTGAAAATATCATCAATAATTATGTACTCCACATATTATATTTATTTTGTATAACCCAAATTTGACGGAAGACTTTTCCATTATCGAAAAAAAAAATAAAAACAAATTCTTTTCAAAATTTATTTACCACCGTAAAAACATTTTCTAAAACTCACCCAACAGCAAAATCTATGTCACTTAACACAAGAGACTTTCTGGCATTTTATTCTCAGATCTACTGTACATTAAATTTCAAATCGAAATTTCCACCCCTTCAAAAACAGCGCCAACAACAGACAAACACGTCGTTGTTCTTGTTCTTATGTTACAAACATAAATTACATTTTTTTAATACACAGGTGTATACAGGTTGTCCACGGACTATATGAAAAAATCTTGGTAGTAGCGACTGACTTTAAAAAAATAGTAAAAAAATAATGGTAATAAGTTATCTCTTTCAATTGTAATAAAATCTTTACTTTATTTGTTTGGAGAAACTTGAAAAAAATCAAGTTTATCCGATTTTTATAAAATTTGTCGAAAACTACAAAAAAAAATCATTCGAAAATTTGAAAAAAAAAATGAAAAGAAACAAAATTGAGTGCCGTTTTAAGGGATGTTTCATGAGTTTTTATCTTGTTTTCAACATGGACGTAGCTAATCATAAGAACTATTTTTTAGTCATTTTGAGTCTATAAAAATTAGAGAGTGATGGCCAACGAGGTTAATTGTGTTACACCAGGTACACGACGCTAAACAAATCTAGACGGAACATCGAATTTAAACGAATAACACACCAGGTTGACCATAAACTAAACTTACGGAGACACAACAAACATTTGGCTGTATTTTACAACCAAAATTTCCACTTGTCTCCTAACTTCCTCAGTTTCTAAACACGCGTTGCACAAAACTCCCGGCCAAGTTTGAGTACCCTTTTCTTTGATTTCGATCATTCTTCTACCGGCCGCTTCATTGTATTTCATGTTGACGTACGCCTCCTTCAGTCTCATAAAAATTTCTTGATTTTCTTTGACGAACTGAAGCTTCTTATCTTGTTTAGCGGTCTTTGTTCTCTCCTTTATTAAACTGCAATTTCCAGCGTGTCACATATTTTCTCCTAGCAAGAACTAGACTCACTCAGAGTGGATCTTTTCATTTTCTGTCTCCAAGACGCGACATTTTCGTTCGGCTGCTTCGAGTTTCAGCTTCAACACAGCAACCTCTTGATGTCCGGCGTCCAGTATGCTGGTACCAACGGAATACTCGCTATCACCGGAATGACGGACTAACGATTTTGAATTTTCCGAAACATTTTCCGCTAAAATCGCCGATATGAGTAAACAAAATCGCAACAACTCGGGAAAAACACCTTCAGTACCAGAACACTCTTCTTCGATGGATTCCGCGTAACGAACTTGCCTGCGATTTTCGTCGGAACTTTTTCCTTCCATCGCTTAACGGGAATTTGGTAACATACTCAAACGCTTCACGGGCATTCTTTTGACGTCTGTATCATGCCTGACAATGACAATTCTTTTAAATTTTGGTATACAAACATTGAACTTTGCTCGAGCATACTCGCATACATAAACTTTCTTCTAAGTGTAAGCTCGCGTCCTCTCGATTCCACTTCCCGCATGTGAACACACTTTTACGACAACCCAATCCCGTATTAAATCCAGTTCTTCGGCATCTGCTACCGGTCTCGGTGTATTTTGAAACCGCAAAGCGAAATGCATTTCAATTTGATAATTTGCGGCGCGGCGTTACGTTTTGCTTCTACAATAACGTGCTTCAAGTTGCTCAACCCTTTTGAAAATTCCACCAAGCTGTTCTTCCCTCAGGTAACTGTTAGCAAGTTTCCACCTGTGGTAGAAGATATCGTCCAACGGATCCAGGCGCAACATTCGACTTACATCTACGAAGATCAGAGCAGGCCCGCTATTAATTACACTCTGTCGCCTGAAGATCAAGAGTATTTTGGTTTGGTTACTACCACTGAAAACTACGTGCCCGAAGACGGTGAAGATGTCAACACGGAAAAAGTGGCCTACTCGATTGAGTCGGATGATTGCGATCTTGAAAATAACTCTACTGATGAAACTACACGTTCAATGGAGTGCGGAGAAGAAATAATTGACACATCAACCGTTCCGGATCTAATAGAAAAAGAACATTCCGAAATAGTGTCGAATTACGGTCTTCCTAATGTCGTCTACAAGGGAATTTCTGGCACCCAATTTGCTAAAAGAAACGCTCCTCTCAGTATCGAATCCGACCTCGAGGATAATGACAATAAAATCACCCCTGTTCTGATACACAAAGATATAGTGACGTATTTTGAGTTACCCAATGCGGTTCATAAAGTTTCCAAGAAAGACGAACCTTTGAACTAACGGTTCCTCTTAAAGAACTGGGTGCCTAATTTTACAGTTTATTGACAGAAAATGTGAGCCCGTGATGAAGAAGAATGGGTAAGTTACAAATGTGTTTTATTGTTGGTTTCCTCATTAATAAAACACAAGGTGAAAGTTTTATATCAATATTTACAAAAAAACTTAACACAGTTTCCGATTAGAACCATTCGGTCTCACGTATACGTCGTCGCCGTATTTGTCTAATAATATATGAAGCTATAAAATCGGCATATACATACTTGGGATTTTGGTTAAAAACATACTGAATTATCACATTCTATGAGCGCAGTTCGGTTATTCCAAAGTCCTGATTAAGCCTTAATTTTCAAATTTGAATGTGATAGGTAATGTGGTGATCTGTGGATCTGCATTGTAATGTCCGCCGCAAGAAGCAGTTTTCGTGCCTTTTCAAGCAAAAAAAAAATTGCACACAAAATACAAATCTTATTTCTTGCAAAAATTTAATATAGTACAGGCACAGTTAGGTATTTATTTTATTGCGTCAAATTTCAAAAATTACCTTTAGCGTTTTTTTTAGATATCGGATTCTTATCAGGGATGGGTTAAAACCTACTTGTACCTATTTTCAATGTTAGTACCTGGTATTCCAAAACAACAATACAATTATTTTTTGACTTACATATAAAGGAAAATTTATACATTTAACTGTTAGTAGTTGATGAAAGTAATGAAATCAATTATTTATTTGTTGTTGCAAGAAAGTAAAAATTGTTCGATTGTTTAAAATTTCGACTTTTTATTTAAATAGGTGTAAACTAAAATATTTAAAAAATTCTTTCACAATTAGAAATAAATGAAACTTTAATTTTACAGTTTTTTGTTCAATTGAAATAATGGAAATCAATTCGGATATATTTTAGGTGAACATCACTGGTAAACAAAAATAATCAAAATCAATCATAAAATAAAGATTTTTACTAGAGTGGTAATTCCTTACCGGGAACACACTGTATGTCTTTTAGTACTCTGATATAATGTAGTTAAAACTTGCTTAGAAAAAATTACGAACTCGAAATTATTCACCATCTACCAACGCCCATGTAGTGGGTCATTCTTGAGGTCAATTTAAAACAGAAATAGCGGTACTTATATTCACTTATCCATGTGTATAATTTTTGGGTGTCGACTCACCAAGCAGGTTCCACCAAATTTGGGCATTTTTTCTGATTAATTTATTTTAAATCATATATGTTGATGAAAGTTACCGGTTTGAACCACATTTCTCGTGCAGGTAATCAGGTGGAATCTACGGAATGTTTCAGATTCGATTCTCACCATTGGGATCCATATGGCCCCAAAATCAGGGCAGTACTGTTAAAATTTTATTATATATTTTGTTTTTGTGTTTTTTTGGATTGATCAAAGTTAAAGGGCTAAATAGTCGGATGAGATGGGCCCTCTTTTTAACCAATACGTATACAATATTTAATCGTATTTGAAGTTTTTGTAATAAATTTATTACACTGAAATTGGAATAAAACAGTTTTTACATTTCGACTTTAACAAAAGGTGCATCTCAAACAGTTGCAATCACATTTAATTTTTCAAAGAAAATTCTCCATGCTACTGTAATACTTTTTATAAAACTTCTGGATTCCTCCTGGGTCGGTTTTTCTTGACTCGAACTAGCTAACGTTTCGCCAATCATCCTGTTGGCTTCTTCAGTTTTAGTCAAGCTCTGCCGAAAAGCCAACAGGATGATTGGCGAAACGTTAGCTAGTTCGAGTCAATAAAAACCGACGCAAGAGGAATCCAGAAGTTTTATAAAAAATGCAATCACATTTATTTTTCATCCACATTTCCGGAATCTTTTAGACTATTATCTCTTTCCTGTCCATCTGAACCAATCACAAAGACGCAGTTCCAAGTCAAAAAGTGTTTTCAAATGGTAATAGTCAACGCACAAATTTTCTAATTCGACCACCACCATTTTATTTGTTTGTCAAAGTAGAATCCCCGTCACTCCTATAAACTTCGAAATAATCTGAAAAAAGTTCCCAGCTGTTCCTTTTCTTCACGCAGTCATGTTTCTGTTCATGGTCTGCATGTAAGGCTCCAGTATCAACTTCATTTGCTTTTTTTTCTCCAAAGAAACTTCCACATGCCACTGTATCGTCGGTATGCGTCGGTTTTTGATGAATCGAACTTGCTGACGTTTCGCCAATCATCCTGTTGGCTTCTTCAGAGTTTGACTGAAAGTGGCTCGTATTTTACTCTATACCTGCTTATATATTGTTTGAGGGGGGCGGAGCTAAATGATAGGCATAAACACCGTCTCGGATGACTGATTTCCATATTGGCGACAGGTAGAGACCTGAGTCGTGGTTAGGTTGTTTATAGATTTCTATGGACTCTCGGATTGGTAGAAGAACTGATTACATGCAAGAATTTATGCATGGAATGCTGTAAACTCCTGACATCTCAATGGAATTTTGTCTTTGACGGACCGAAGATGTTGACAGATTTTTGGACAAGTGGTAAATCTGGTTTTGACGTTATACTTCTCTAGAACTTTTGATATGTGGTCAGTGATGATTTGAATGTAAGGAAGGACCACAGTGGCAAGTGTAGGATTGCTTTCGGCCTCATTGCTATTTCAAGGTTGTGGTGAAGTGTATTTTTTGATGGAATGCTTAATATCTTTAATGTGGAAATTATTAGAGAGAAGAGCACAGATAAGTTGTTTTAATTCTGGGTTCAGTGACTCGGGTTGAGATACTCTTACGGCTCTGTAAACAAGAGAGTTGGTAGGTTTTTTGTAAACACAATAACCCAATGTTAAGTCTGAATTTATATTGATAAGAATATCTAAGAATGGTAACAATGGTAAAACGTATGTTAAGGTGTATAGAGTTTAAATGTCTAAGAAAATCTACTAGGTTTCTTGACCATGAGGCCAAATAACAAAAGTATCATCGACGTAGCGTTTCCATAATTTTGGTTTTAGATGAAAGGTGTCGCTTTCTTCTCAAAGGCTTCCACAAATATACGTCAGCAAGTTCGACTCACCAAAAATCGACGCAGGAAGAATCCAGAAGTTTTGTGAAAAGTCTTCATCTGCTTTTGTTCTTAAACCTGGTAATATAGTTGTTTATTTTCACACAACCCTTTATAGCTAATATGTTGACTAAATTGGTTTAGCTTCCCTTCCAAAATTTTCGGTTTCCGACAGTTAAGACGTGACAACCACCATATTAACATAATAAAACCCTGTTCGCAGGCTTTTGAACCGAAGCGCGCCTAACAAGCTTCTTAATAACGCTCGTCCTTTGTTTAAAACAAATTACCTACTTCAACTCGTTTTTTCATCATATTTTCGAAACATAATATTACCAGCGAAAACTAAAAAAAAAATAGGTGTATCACTAGAAAATCCTAGCACCATAACGAATTTGACAGTAGATCCCATATTCGTAACGGCATTTTTACGTTGGCTGGACTTCCTGTATAAACTCGTTATCGGGGCATCTGAAAATTACTCTCAACTTGTCATACATACCGATAGTTCGGCAATTATCGCCTATTACTGTTCTCATGCATATTAAACGATGTCGCGCCGAAAAAAGGAAGAAAGAGGCTTTCTTTCTTCGATTAGCTTTCGGGTTGTTTTATTCTTGCGTGCGCCAGTGTTGAGAACATGAAGAACAACGATCGATGTGTGCTCCGTTTAGCGGTACTGTTCGTCGTCTCGACGATACCGGGTACGGTAATTGGAGCACCTACCGCCGCCAAAGAAGAAAGAGCATATATATTTTTGCCTGCCACTGGGTCAGTATTCAATTATTATGGTGTAAAGTGATTTTGGTTCAGTAAATCGGGTTTCATCTAACTACGGGATGTCAAATATTAGTTGTCCACAAACTCGCAATTTTCTAAATTTTTTTCAACCATAAAACTGATTTTTGTTACACCCGCGTAATCAAGAAGAAGTTTTCATTAGATTATTTAATTAATAACATATTTTCGATTTTTTTAAAATCAAATTTACATATCGTCAGACCACAAAGTTGTTCACAATGCGAATTTCGAAGTCTTGAGGGTTCATCTTTAGGTATTTATTTAGAAAGTGATTTATTAGTGAGTTATTTCTTATTTTCATAACCTGATATGCAGGAAATGCGAATGCTTTGGATTAAACATGCACTGACTGAAGCTGTATTTTTTATTTCCCCAATAGTAGAGATCGTTTTATGTCATACCTCGCGAAACCAGGTAATTCTGGATTTTCCAAACTCCTATCTTAAGTAATTTTGTAGGTTGATCTATTTTCATCGCTAGCATTTTATATACCAGATGTATAAAAGGTATGAAACTGTCTAATATCTCGAGAATTACACAATTCATCAAAAAGCAAAAAATGTCTTTTAATATTGAATTAAAAAAAACTGTTCGATAACACCAAAGGAACCCACTGGGGGTCAATGTTATGAATCCCGACCACCGTTTCTTTTTGGGTAAATTTTTTCAAAACGAGAGACGTGTGAACCTGACTTGACTATCAGAACTGATATCAAATTACAAATCAGTGTTTTAAATCTCCTGAAAACATTTGATCATTCTTACCCCATGTCTAAAGTAGCGGAAATTGACCCGTATAGTTCTTGACAAATAGGTCAAATCGCTTTTTCGGATTGCAACGCCATCTACCGAAGAAAACTTCGGACAAAAGTCTGATGTTTTTGTGGCAAAGCATCTGAATCTTAAATTAAAAAAGGGGGTTTCCATTTAAGATTTCGGAGTTTTCCCCTCACCTGTAGGTTTGATGTTATTGCAGTTTTCTAATCCAATTTTTAAAGGCCTTTTTGTTTGTTTTTCGATCATTTGTGTAAATATCGAGATATATTGACCACCCTTCTGCAATATATAAATTATGTACTACTCACCTAACGGGGGCATCATTTATTATTCCTGTCGAAAATAATAAAATATATTTTGTTTATGAAAAGTAATTTCATGCTGATAAAAAGATAAAGGTAACGAATTGAAAAAAATTCTCTTTCAGTAGAAATTTATTGCAAAATATGTTTCCAAAGTATTTTGCAGGTTTGCCTTGTTTTCGAACCAAATGCTACATCAAATTTAGATTGTTCGATTGGGTTTTCAACAAGATTACTAACTAGCCATTTGTATTTTGTTTTTTAGTAAGTTAATATCTAATAGCTATTTTAATTAGCTATTTAAATAGCAAATGTAACCAATAATTTTTTCGGCTTTAATCAGTTGTTAATGGACTGGTACCAGAACTACTTTTGTTCGCATTTGAATTCTCTATAATTCATCGCCTCAAAGTATTGAAGTTGCGTTAGTTATTTAAAAAAAAAACGTGTATATAAAATACGGACTGTCTTTCTTTTGATGGCACTAACCAAAACTGACCAAAACTTCCTTCGCTATTGACTGGTTCACTACGATTTAACAAAACTTTACTGACCATTTTGAATATTTCAATTTTTTTTTTCCAGAAAACAGAAGGTACCCATATATTTGTTTAAATTAACCACTCTATTATCAATCTTATTATCGAATTCTTTCTCTATTATCTTTTTCCCTATACATGCAATTCATTCAATGAAAAATGAAATGTTTCAGGGTCGTGGCGATGCCAGCTTTTGCGAACAATGAAGCAACGTTGTATCAACAGCTTCCTTATCAGCCCCATACTCGAGGTCCCTTTGACTTTATAGGCAATTGGATTCAACAATCTTCCTGGTTTCCCGTGGAAATTAATGTTCCAGACACGTTCGCTAATATAGGCAATGGTTTATCTCAGGTCACGCAGAACCTTGGCAACGGTTTCAATCAGTTCACTCAAGGGGTGACCCAAGCCACGTCGAACTTGGGCAACGGAGTGTCTCAACTTTCTCAAAATGTTGGCAATGGAGTGTCTCAATTTTCCCAAAATGTCGGCAGTGGAGTGAACCAATTCACTCAAGGAATTGGAAGCAATTGGAACCAATTATCTCAGAATTTCAACAACTGGGCTCAAAATTTGGGCCAGAGAATTCCCATCATTAGCAACTTCGTAAGGCACAAGGTACCAGGTAGCGGACTCATCGTAGTAGTACCAGTTGGAGGTAGTGACGTCGGGATAAAACCTGCAGGGGTTGGAGTCAATCAAGTTCTCGGGGATGAGGTTTTGGAATCGTTCCCATAGTTTTGCCGTTATTTTCTTGAACAGGGGGGCGATTTTAAGATTCTTACATGGCGGCAATTGGTGAATATGGCATAATGTTCTTGACATAGTTGAGTCAAGAAATCTCGCGTATTGTCATTTACATAAAACTTTTTGGGTTAACTATGTTTGATTTATTTTCGAGAGACAACTGACTAGTGATAAGTTATTTTAATTGCTTCATTCGAATATTTAGAGAAAATCTGAAAGCCGTGTCACTTGACGAATACATATTACGTTGTAAGGAAATTGGCTTAATCTATTTATTTATTTATTATAATAATATGCGCACTATTTATTATTAATTATTACTTTGATTACGATATAAAAACTTTATAATTATTGTTTGTCAATAATATATTGCGAGTATATTGTTGCTTATTATCTTCCTACACTACCTATAAAAGAAATTAATCTGGCACCATGGCATATATATCTGAAAACATTTTAATAGTATATTGTACAAGTTTGATAAAAGCTCCTTCAGTGGCGAGAGCAGGAGAGAAGTGAATGTTTAATAAAAAAACTAACCAAAACTAATGAAGCTGCTGATGTCCTACTCTAGCGAACTGTGAGCGACCCAATAGAAAGAAATTGAACATATTTCAGTTTATTTGACCGTTTAGTAATGTTTAGTAACTATAATTGTGAAAAATATAAATAAATTAAAATTATATCCTAAATAGTGACGTAGCTTATTTATTTTTTAATAATAAAATTTGACTATTTACACAAACTGTACCTATTAATTTTTATGAAATTTAAATCTTCTGTGTGCAGAATTCTACTTCAATTGAGTTTAGTTTTCCTCTTTTAATATTTGCCAATTTCAGTTATAAAATTCGTTTATTGAATTCATTTAAGATTAACTAGACGCGTTTAGTCCTTATAGCAAAGAAAAGGAAAAACGAAAAGAAGTGCAGAAACAAAGTAAATTCCCGTACATTGGTAGCTAACACCTGCGCAAATCGTAAATCATAGAGCAAATCCACCATTAAAACTCAACCCCTTTAGCGCTGTTGTGCAATTTCCTGCCCTGACGGACATGGCGAGTTACATCCTCTAAAAATTTTACATTACCCAAATTATTGGCGATCCAAATCTAACAACGAAAAAGGTGTCAATAGGAATAATTCAATTTTTTTTTAATAAAAATTTTTGGCGTTCAATATACAACCCTGTAGTCATGCGGCACAATCCGGTAGTCATCCAAAACAACATCTTTCTAAAGCTTTATATATTCCACCAAAAAAATTGTCTAAAAGCGTAACCGATTTCACATAACAAAATATTTAAGTATTTTGACGACGAGCGAAACTTTGTCAAAAGCAATTCCGCGCTGTTTGGCAATAAATTAAGTAAAAGACCAACGGCAAAGAACTAATTCTTCAAATATACGTAGCCCGTCGAACTAGAACCGCCATTGCCTTGTCTCTGGGCCAGCTGCGACTCGAATTTGGACTTATTCTCTTCATACACATCTCGTACGCCCGCCTCCCTCTTGAGAGCTGCCCCTTTTTGGACGATTATTCCTACAGGGTAATCGAAGCTGTAGAAGAAACCTTTAGGCGGTCCGGTGGTGTTTTCTTCCGAGTCTTCATCCGAATTAGCCTTCGCATATATATCCCTGTTTTCGCTATACTGTCCGGAGTAGTCCACTTGATTTTCTGGGGCGGGATTGTATTTGGAATAACCTTGAGCCCCAGGATTACCGGGGCCTCGATATTGACCGCCAAATTGAGCCTGAGAGGATCCGCCAAATTGACTTGGCTGACTGACTGATTGCGATGGTCCGGCAACACCTTGCGCTCTGTACAGCCCTGAAGAAAATTGCTGCGATTGCGCGGAGGTTCCTGATGGTTGACTAGATGAATCTGCGGAGTATTGAGCCTGGTGTTGAGATTGAGACGAAAACCCAGGTGATGACTGGCCGAAATCTTTCTGATAGCCGAAGGATAGCTGCTGCGGCTGCTGGTTGAATAGTTTCTGGCGTTCTAGCTGGCCTTGTGCCGACAAAGGTCCGCTGGAATATTGACCTTCGCTGTTGTAGGGGTTCCTAGAATCAGAATTTGTCGAACCGATGTAGACAAAGTCATAAGAGCTTACGCCACGGGATGCTGATTCCTCTCGGCTTCCTCGTTCCACCTCTTTAAGAATTCTTCTTTGGCAGCTTTTACTTCAGGCGAATCGTCGATTTGCTTGGGCAGAATCTTGGGCACGTTATCTATCTGGTGAAATCCGGTACCGTCGTCCCAGTATTCTACCTGGGAAAAAATTCTATTGCATTAGGACGCGGAAAACATTTTACACCTAACACGCACCCTTATTTCTTGACCATCACCTGCGATGTAATTGTAAGCACCTCTGAGATCGCCGCCTGCTTTTTTCTTTTCATTTTTGGCAATGTCTGGTACGGAATAACCATATAGGTACCCTCCGAGTCCGTCCTGGCCATGATACTGTCTCGCCAGGTAGATATCTTCCGCTACATGGTGGGGTTCGTTTCCTAAAAAAAAACCTAACGATAGCGAATTTTCGGCTAGAGTTGGTCATCATACTGGACCTAACTATCGAGGGTTTGACTTTAGTAAGTAAGCTAAACTAACGCACCCAAAAATCGGACGGCGGGTACATTCGAGTCTATCTTCGGAGCGTACTTCAACGTCTGGTCTTGAGATTCAATCACTTGTTGAGCGTCTGTTGGTTCCAGGTCTAAGAGACGAACCTCTTCGGCAAAGGACAACTTTGCGTAACACACTAGCCCCACCTAGAACCGTGTGATAGTATAAGTAAAACTAAAACGAAATAGACTCCAAAAACTCTAATTTAACTACGTTTTTAATCGGACAGCAACTGTCTAAAAGAGGTTATATACTTACTTTAAGGTCAACTTAAACGCTTTAGCAGAAGAGACTTTCATTTTTGATCGAAACTGGCTGCCACGTATTTTTATCTTTTCAAGCGGATGGTGGGTGCGTGTAAGTCAAACTATTTATAGTATATGTATATCGATTTTAATAACACCCTGTATATCAAAAGTCAAACGCTAATTATAGATTTGATGCTTTTTAATAAGCCGTATAGAATTATAGGTATTCATTTCTCAGACCAAAAGATTTGTTCCACTTCGCATATACAAAAAATGTAATTTTAAACGGAGGATGCATAACACTCGACTCAAATGTCCTGCTGGGTAAGTAACTTAAACGATTTGTCAAAACTGTTTTTTTTATATACGTAGACAGTGTTCGGGAAGGTCGTTTCCAATTTAAATAAAAGTCTCAAATCCTACAAGCCTAGAAATCATTTTCAAAGTAAAATTTTTAAAATTAAATTAAAAGCATATTTGCTGTACACATAGTGGTAAACAGTTCCAAATTTAGAATAATTATTTATTATTTTTTATATACGTGGTTGGAAATATTGATCTTCGTAGGTTAACAGAATAGAAACAGATATACTTTAAGAAAACATGGCTGTGATGCATTGCATTTACATTATCCACATTATCTGTCCATAAAGTACTACAAGACAATACCCTTAACCAATTAAACGACCAGATTATCGCATTTCTATTCAGTTCCATAACAATTTTGCTGCGAACTTTATTTAAACAATATATTTTTAGTTAAAAAAAAGGTTTAGTATCATATTAGTAATTAAACATTTTTTTTTGCTTGCTCAAATGAAAAAAGCAAAAAACTTAGGCAATTTGACGTCCCCTTCTATAACATTTGGGGTACCTTGCATAATTATAATAATGGTTATAATTTAACATATTTACTTTATCAATACTTGTTGTTGTTGATACGACGTTATCGTTTTTTTAGTTGTAACTGTTATGTAATTCCTTCAAATTTTCGTACGTTACATAAAAATAAAATTCAAAAATATATGTTTGCATTCGATTATCCGTTTATGCCTAGACGATTAATCATAAAACAGGTTCTTAAAACTTGTTTCCAAAAGAATATTATTAAATTTTGTATATTTTCAAGTTTAATTAATTAAATCTGAGACATGCACGTGCATACTATGTTTTTCGGTTGGGACAACGCACATTTTTATTACTTTTTAACCAGTTTAAATAAAAATGAATTTGAGTAGGCTGTTTTGTAGTGAACGCTTTAATGGCGCTCAACGCAATTACTGAAAATTTTTCAAATTTGATTAATTTGAAGTATTTTTATTTAATTGTTCTTTTATTTAACTCTAAGTGAATATTTTTCAAACTTTCAAGTTTGTTTAAATATTCTTTTTCTTTGCTATTCTCGTTTAATTGAACTTTTTTTTCACGATTAGCAAAGATTTTTCAAATTTCCAAATTTGATTAAATATTCTTTCTATTAATTGAAGTATTTTCTTTTAAGCTAGGCTGATATCTAAGCCGTTAATCGCTAGTTAATTCTTTCACAAAAAAAAATAAATACATTTATCAGTAAAATGTAATTAGTTACATAATTACTTAAACGGTTCTATTTCTGATTGGAGAAAATTTTCATTCATTTTTCATTCATTTTAACGTAACGATCTTTCACTTACCAAAATGATTGCACTTTTCATATTCCGTGATCGTTTCTTTTGTCCGCACCAAAAATAACGAGACCGCAAAACTAGGACGACGGCGAACTATGTTCGCCTTTTTTTCGTTAATTTACGTTTAAAAGAAACATATGCAAATTATACTTAATCATTTTCTATTTATACCTTATACCTTATAAATCCGCATATTTCCCACTCTTGCTCTCGACAGCGAATAGTGTCGAGAAGATGCGCGGGAAGATGATACGTTACAGAGTGGTACATTTTCAAAAACGCTATCGAAATGGTTTACGTACCCCATTAATTGGTTAGGAATAACTTAAAAAATAAAATCGTATTAACTCGGCACATACAATGTTACGCAATATTTTGTATGGAGCTTTAAAAAGGGATACTTTTATCTCAATTAAATTATAGATTAAACAATAGCTCCGGGGCCACCCTATTACAAAGAACGCCGCCGGTGAGATTCGTAGATCTACGTAATCACCCAAATATTTATATTTTTCTAGAATTACCTAAATCATCAATTATTAATGATTGTATTCTGGCGTATTAACGATTATGGGTTAGACATAAGAAATCCAATGAGACAATATCCGGTTAATACACGGCATTTCGGTAGCAACCTCTTTAATTAAATATATCCTTAAGGCAAATAAAATTAAGCAAGTAACTTCGTAGTATCTACTACGTTGGCCAACTAACAACGCAAAAATGTTGACTACGTTTTTGACCTTCAGTCAATTACCAATCATTATCACGCTGATTGTTGAAGCAACGTGAAGAGGTCAACATTGTCTAGGGCGTATTTTATCATTTGAGGCGGCGGTTTCTTGCCGGACTATTTAGAAAATATCTCGCAAGGGATAAGCCAGAGTCGGTTACATTTGAGAAAAGTTGCGCATTTTTATTCGTAACCATATGCCGTTAGAATAGTACAAAATGTCAGAGTAGTTCCGGACATTATAATTTATAATAAATTATAATTTATAAATAATTTGCACATTTACTTTGCTACTTTTTCCATTTTTTTTCAAAACACAAAAATAAGAATAAAACTAACCAAAAAAAAGTTTGTTTTATTTGATAAAATATAATTTTCATTAAACTGTCATTAATGAAATTACGTACGTTATACAATTTAAATTTTATATGTTCAATCTATAATTTTTTACATTTCGGTTCGTAAAACTGTAGTGTGTGTAGTTGTTCAAGCAAATTTATTGCAATTTTTTTTCTTCCAAATTATTAGAAAAAAGTATAGTTTCTTCTACCATTTTAAGAATGTATAAAACCATTTCGTGCCTACAAAGAGATGATTTTGAGCGCCATTCTTCAAAAAATGTTCAATGGTACCCAATTATTTACACTTTCATATTTTCCAAAAAAAAAAAAAAAAAAACGAAACCATAAAACGGACTCTACATGTAACAAAATGCACATATCGGTATTCATTCCGTTTTTGGACATACATCCTGGTTCGTACAGGATTTTAATTGACAAATCTGCGATGATATCACGTATAAGCTATACGCATTTTAATTCCGCAAAAAAAATACTATAGACGACCTTGACTGTCGAGCTTTTCTAGGTGTCGAACATACAAGGTCCGTCAAAAACAAACCCGATATTTGGGTTCTTTTATCACTCAAATATCATAAGTACAGATGCTTAATCAGTTTATGTAATGTTATGTAAATTGCAATAATCCGCTAACAATTTATCAAAACTATGTTATTAATTACGATTTTTTCATATTAAAGCTTTTTATAGAATTTTTTTACGTCATACTAAACTTTATCTGTAATTCTTTAATTGTTGGGACTTTTTATAAAGTATAAAACCGTTTTTTATTCGGTTTTTAAAATCAGACTGAAATTTCTATTAAAGTGATGTGTCATACTTGTTATTTAAATTTGTACATTTTTATCAATTAGTTATTCTTTATTATTACGTTTATTATTTTACTGACTTTAATTAATATTATATTTTTTATTATTTTCTACGTTAAGTAATAAAACTGAAATAAATTATATATATATATATATATATATATATATATATATATATATGTATATATATATATATATATATATATATATATATATATATATATATATATATATATATATATATATATATATATATATATATATATATATGTATATATATATATATATATATATATATATATATATATATATATATATATATATATATATATATATATATAGGTAATTAAATAATATGTTCATATTCTATATCATATTCCAATGAATTTATTTTGTGCTACATAAAAATGTACTTATGTATATTATGTAATGACGGAAGAAGTTAATTCTGTCATTTTTGCGTGACACTAAAAATGTTCTCCCACAAATTTTATATTGTTGCAATTCAAAATACGTAAACAATGGGAAACGCAGCTTCTTCGGGGAACGACGACTCTTCGAAAACTCAAAACGAAAGCATTATAAATCTCTCCGATCACTGTCTTGAAAAATTAACCAATGAAAATAAAGAAGGTAAAAATTAACGCATTTACAATAGTTTGAGTTGATGAACCGAATCAAAATGCCATTTACAGTTTCCGATACTTCAGATGATAAACAAAGCGCACTGGAAAGTCCTAGCGACGGAGAATGGATGTTGAAATTGAAAGGATTGGATCAAACTCATTCCAACACCAATGGAATCACCGTTGAAAAAATTTATAAGATGATAGAAAGCATCTACCAAGAACTTGAAGAAATGAGACCTGTAATATGTTCGGCGGATGAGGTGACCAATCTTCATCACACTAGCCAAAGCAACAGCTAATCTGACAGCTTGTTGTTCATTGCATAAGCAATTTTGACGCCGCTATATTCGAAAATTTGCATTTGCCGAGTTTATTAAGTTTAAAGGATATTTTTCTCATCTAGATGGTTTGGAAAGGAAATTCATGGCCATGATCAATATTACTTACTATATTTGAAACACGATTTATAATACTGGAAGGATTATTTCATAAGCTGTGTAAAATTTTGCAGATGTGAAATAAGCTTATATTATTTCGTCATCGTCAGCAAAATTGTCAAAAAATTAAACTTTAAATAGTGAGCAAAGTGGCCTGTAGAATCATTATTGTTCTTTCATCTTGTTCATGCTGTATTATAAGATCCCCATATGGGCAATATGTTTAGAGTACGTCAGCAATATCTTTTTGTGCCGGGTTCAGTAAAACGACATAACTTTAAAAAATACATTCTAAATTATTGAATTCGACGAAATGACTCGTTTTAGAAACAACCAGTTTTTAAAATCAAATGCAGAATAACTTTCCATTTTGTTAAATTGATAAGTATGATTTATGACAAAACAAAAAGAGGTGGTGAAGAAAATTTTGTTGTATTTAGCATCGGATTTTTCTGTTTGGATAGTATTTTTGTCTTGAAAACGCAACAACATACTAAAAACAGAGAAAACAAAAAATATAATTGGAAAAGTAGAACCTATCTAAATTCGATATCTTTCCATTTCCATTTCTTTTGAATTCCATATTGGATATGGCGGACTAAGTGTTAATGAGAACACCATTCAGTGTTAAACGACCGATTTATTGCATCGGCTAAGTATTCTACAGCAGACTGCCGTTATGGGAGAAGCCTTAAGTACCTCGAGTGCGTTGAATTATATTATGGTGTGTTAAGTTTGTTAACAAATTTGTTTTGAAACGTATGGACTGCAGTGGTAAAAAAACACTACACTAGAGAACAAAATAAAAACAAAAAAATCAAATTATGCTGTTCTAGAATCGGGTGTATAGTAATAATTTATGCTTCCAAAATACAACGCAAAATTTTATTGCTTGTACTTTTCCTATCGCGAGCAAGAACTGCAATTGTAAAAGAAATTATATTGAAGATATTAGTGACGTTAGTGCAACTTTTAGGTTATATACTGCTTGAAGAAACATCCTCAGAAAATGATAATGTGCAAAGCAACTATGGACGCTTACATCGACTGCATTGACACACATAGAATTAACATAATTAAAGAACAGATTGACTGCAAACTAAGAGAAAAGAATAAGGAAGAACAAAACATAATAGAGAAATTTTTGCAAAATTGAAATTTTTAATCTCTGCTTTAAAAAACAGCACAAAATTTTAGTAACAAAAACATAAATATCCATATATGTATATTAAACAATTTACAGCATATAACAGTACCCACCTACATTGTAAAAATTTACAACAAATTGAAATAAACCTATCTTCTCTCCAGATTTTTAAATTTTGCTTCCAATCTTTTTGAATAAGCATCCAATTTATAAGCCGCCTGTTCCAATTTGATAACGCTATCTTCAATCTGATCTATTTGCTGAAGAAGAGGCTCAAGAGATTCATCTGAAAGAAAAAATGTCAACAGCATTATTAAACAAATTAAATTTACATGGCTTACATTTCTCGTTCAGTTCTGCAATGCTCTTTGTTACATTTGCCGCTATTTGCGTCATGTCGCGATACTTTGTTTTTGTTACTCGATTCATATTTTCAAGCAACCTATAGTCATCCAATGTAGATGTCAGTTCCCCATATAAATAGTCCGAGGTTTTGCTAAAAAGAGCATTAGCTAATCTGCTCAAGTTTGGATCATGTGGGTCCAAAGCTTCAAAGCTAGATGTAGAGGTGGATAGTGTAGGACCTAAAATAGAACATGGCATTATATTAATATTGCCAATAAGCATTCATATGTAACCTTTCTTTGGAGAATCTGTGAGTCCGTCAGAATCAATTTCATCGGTCATTTTAATAGTTCTCTAATTTAACTTTCCTTTTATTTACGAAAACAGTTCCATAACCTCCACAACTTGCATTTGTCAAAATCAGCTGATCACGATCTAAAGAAGAGTCCAAAACTCTTTAGTTATTAGATCTATTCTTGGAACAAATTACATTTTACTGAACATTCATTTTTCGTTAGTGTAAATAAACAAGAAATAAGAGGTAGTGGACTAAAAACGCGTTCGTTTATTTCACCTCAGTGTGCTAAACTTCCGCTTTCTTAACTGTGCTTCCCGTTAATAGGTAATTTTTTTATCATTGTTTAATAATCACAATCAATTGCACACTGTAAATATTATCCTATAATTGCATGTTATTTATCACCAGAATTATCAGTATATCCAGTCAAGCCTATCAAATCTTATTGGGAAAAATATTATAAATTTGATATAGGTGGAAAATATTGAAATTTTTATTTATTTCTTTGCTTCTATACATTTGTAAGTACATATCTTGCACAATGGAAAACGGCGATATCACTAAGTTCGACTTGAAACTGGTACACGATAAATTCTCCGCTGCCTTGATTGAAGATGATGACATAGATATAGAACTTTATTTGGAAAGCTTTCAAGAACTGGACAAGTATGTTTAAAAATTAATATAACAAGAATTAAGGTAATTGGGTTTTAGATTCTTCAATTTGGTTGGAAGCATGTTTAGATTTGTAAGCAATGACCTCAAAGAAAAGAGCAATCATCTAAAGGAATTAAAATACAAAACTGTGAAAATGATGATCCAGCACGAAAAAGAAAACAATTTGTTAAACAAGAAGGGATATGTGTCTGGAAGTAGAACACTCTTGAGGATACACAGGGGCTTAGATTTTATCCGATTGTTTCTAAAGAAACTAAGTGAATTGGAAGATCAGGAAACCACATCGAAGGCTTGCAAAGAGGCTTATGATCTCACTTTAACCCATCATCATTCTTTTTTGGTTCGAACAAGTGCTCATCTTGCAATGTACACTTTGCCGACTAGAGGAGAGCTACTGCAGAGAGTATGTGGAAAAGAAGAAGATGTTAAACAAACTTTGGAGATATTGCCCAACACTTTGATAGCTACTAGCGTTGTTTATACTCGGATTGATACTCTGTACAGCCTCCATGATTTGCACAATTTGCCGTGAAAGGTTGAGCTTGGTAAAATATAATATTTGAGTATTAGTTAGTTTCCTGTCTTTACATAGTTATTACATAAATTACAAAAAGGAACTAACCAAAATACCAAAAAATAGTCAAAGTTATTATTTTAGTATACATTTATTGGAGGTAGGACATTCCTCTATTGTCCATTCCACTGTGTCATCCATGACAGTCAGTCATCCCAAGCCCAAGCCATCAGACGTTGTGGAAAAAAGTTTAGGCAAACAATATTACACACAGAAATGTTGGCATTTTTTATTTAATAAATATTTTATAAAATATTTCATGTTTTATTTAAATTGATTTTCAAGTTATTTCAACAGGATGTTGTTAGTCCTAGCTGGACATTGATTATTTTTCTTTAATATTTTAAGTCAAAGTCGATTCACAACCATTTATGGTTTTGATTTCCCAATAAGTTTAAGACCCATCTGTTGTAAAGCGGGAGGGACCATTTTTTTCAGCACGTGTACCACGGGCCAGGGCCGTATTTAAGATGTTAACTGACAAGAACTGTGCCACACGGATTGTTATATTTTAAGAGTAGGATTTAAAAGTAAGAATGGATTTTTCACTGCATGGACTAATAATAATCGAGGAATCTCACCAATGAAACTACACAAATCCGCCAGCCGTCAGCGAGATGGGCGAACGTTTAGACCGTCATAAAAATTTACCAATTGTCCAATTACCATTTACCGGATTGTCGTAAAAACGGTATATGGTCGGGCGAACTATAACTAAATGCTTTCTGTGCCATGTTTTCTGACTCATGCGCCCGCGCGCTACTGCAGTTGGTTGGTTTTTGTAGCTAAATTTGCTTGAAAAATATGGGTTAAGTATTAGATCTTCTAATATTTGTGGAGGAAGAATGTGGACCTTTTCTAACCCTATGAATAGAATGGACAATTTTTTAAATTTATTGATCTTCCTATGATTTTACAATTATTTAGTCTTAACTTCGGCATGATTACCCAAGTTCACTTACCAGAACTGAAAAGTGTCAAGGTTGTTAAAGAAAAATAAATCGACACCAAAATTATGTAAAATTTTTATTTCAAAAAAGTATTAGTATAAATCACAGATTATTGATAAGGCTTGTTCTAAATGTAATAAACTTACTCTCTGGTTTTCAAATTTTCGTAATAGAGTTCAAGTTGTAAAAAATATATGTTTATTCTTTCCCTCTACTATTCTCTTTGACACTCTGCAAACTCTATTCTAACTTATGAGTACTAGATATTTGCAGAAAGTGTTTTAAATCGCCTATAGCGTTGTTGATGTGACCATTTTCACCCCGTGCACATAAATGGTTGGAGGAAGATCTCGTGAGATTAACTCCAGTTTGTTATAATATGGGACCAAATCCATGTCATTATCAGGTGGGGCTGGCAAATAAATAAAAGTAACTGCAGTCTCCGCTACTTGCTTAAGAATCATGGCATTAAATCTGAAACAATTTTTTTATTTTATTTTTTGAAGACACTATTTTTTTTGAGCTCTTATGTAATGTTAATGATTTGGCTTCTATTTAATTTGTAGCGATCCATTGTAATTTTATGTTCTAAATTTAAATTCATTAGGGAAGCTAGAGAATTAAAAAAAATTTTTGTTTATTTGGTCTTAGTCTTTCAAGTTTGTTAATGTGTTCAATATTTTTTTTTCTTGACCATAGGCCAGGCAATGCTTATCTGAAAATCTGCTATAACAAAAAATATTGTACTAACACTAAATTTTAACATTACTCATTATAACAATATTTATTTATTATTATATTATACACTATTTAACTCAGTAATAAATATTTTTTATGTTACTATTAGTATATCAACGACAATTGCCCAAAGTTAAAAAAAAAATAAAACCCATGAAAAGCACAAAAATATCCAAAACCAATTACAAATACAATGCGCCTGAAAATACACAATGCAAAATTAAAAATGACAATTTTGGTTAGTTCACCAATGGCAATGGCAAATAAAAAAAAAAAACATAAAACAAACAAAAGCTACCTTTGTACATACATTTCCACGTTGGCACTGTGCGATTCAATTACTCCAGTCCAATCCGGCACAAGGTAAATCTCGGCTGATATCCTGAGCTGCTTGAGCATGTTTCGCAACTTTTCCAATTGATTCTGACCGGAAGAATTTAGAGTAAACGAACCGCTCGTAGTTTCGTCACCCACACACAATCTCAGTTTTAACTTGCTCCACAAGGGGACCATATTAACAATACATGCAAGCTGCATCATGAACAGGGAGGTTATATCGAACGCGTCCTGCTCACCAGGGTTCAGAAAATTTACAGGCCACACATCGATGTACGATTTGTTTCCTACACTAAAACAATGCATACATGACCTTCACAAAAGTATTTCTTTCTATAGTGCAAAAGAAAACGAAAATCAGACAGGGCTGACAAATGATAAATATTAACGTTCTTACATTTTTGGATCTTTCTTCAATTTCCAAAAATTACGGCACAGGCAGAGGTTTTTGTTCAACCTCAACACGTCTCTCATCATTTGTACATATTCGACCAGCCCGAGATCGCCGGAATGAGTGAGTGGAAAGACGTCGTTATCGAATTCTTGGCTTATATATGCCGAATCGTCACTAGAAAGAACCAGAAGAACCAAATTCTTCCTTTTAGAAAAGTACACTACTTTCAGACTGTCTAAGTGAAGTCCATCCCGACTTACAACGCATGGAAGGACTTATCAGTTGAACTTCAACGCTATATCGTCGCGTCAAACCAGATTGCGCGATGAGAAAACAATTTTTATACAGGGTGTTCAATTACAATTACTGTGAATTTGCAAGTAGTTCATTTTACTGTTAATAGTAATAATACTACCCTTAATTCACGAGCAGTGTATTCGGATGATGACATTAGATTTTGAAAGGAATTATCCTAGTCAATTGACCAACTGGGTTTAATAATTCAAAAATTTCAAGATCACAAAACTAGAATTTCAGTTTAATTCTTAGCTAAAAAATACCTAAAAAATTGTTAAGTCAATCTTAGAAATATGTGTTAGTGCTATGATAAGTCTAGAATTTAAAAATAATAACTACCATATAATGAGATTTTGACATGATAGATAGATAGTGAATTTGTTAATTCGTTAAAAATTATGACAAAAAAAAACATAGTCTAAAGTAGTCTAAAAGAATAATAAGTCTTAAAAAAAGAAGTCGAGAAAAAAGAAAATATACATCTGCATTTTAAATTTGATTTACCATTATCGCTGAAAAATACATACAATGAATAAAACGCCTTTTTCAAAACATAGTTTTGAACTTTGCATTGCACTTTTTTCTCAGGAATGTTCCGAATAATTTCCGGAAGTTATAGATTGTATTTATAGAATATTTCAAAATTTTTCTCAGGATAGGTGGAGTTACATCACTCAGGTAAAAGGAGTGATTTATACCTAGTTGCATAATCATGTTTATGTAATGAGTCAACAAACAAATCTGCTTTAAACACAAGCATAAAAGAATCCAGTGCTAGAATACACTTTTACACACTTTTTTGTAGAAGCAAAATCCCGCGAAAATCGGAAGCCATTAGGGCAGCAATGCTGCATAGCGGTATTTACCTAAGCTTGTCCTTCGCCCTTAGATTCATTCCTTAAATTATATGGTGCAAAGTTAATAACACTGCACAAAGATTAAAAATATTATTTCAAGTATGTAAATGTTCTGTCTTTAATTTTATATTTAGGAAAAACATAACTTCCTACATAAAAAACAAAGTTCTAGGTGGATAGTTGAACTTACTCACCTCTGTAAAAAATCTATGGGCTCTTGGTGGTCGAAGAATCCAATGACGACTGTGTGGGCTTCATAGCACCCATGCCGCTGAGGCGTACTAAATGCTGCACTCCTTCGCGCACCGTCTGAGCCACCGTCAGTTCGACAAAGGCTTTCACCTTCAAATGGTCTATCAAATTTAACCAGTGTAATGTCATATCCAAAGTAGAGTCGGGACCATCGCTGAAGTTCCCTAAAACCGTAGTAAATTGAAGAGACACTACAAGAAAATCTCGGCAGCTTTGAATCTATTATCAAATCTAATAATGGTAACAACAGATAATCTTTAGTAGAAATTTACCCAAAAAGATCTTTCAACGCAAATTATGCATAAGACAAAAAACATTTTTAACAAAATTTATCAAAATAACATATTCCATAACAAAATTAATCAGAAAATTTTAAGCAGAATGCCACTCTGTCGCTCACCAAGTTGCTTTTTTTTACATTCTGTGCCAAAATTTTGTGGTGTTCCTTAGAACTACCGCATTAAAATTTTGTTTCACAGGTAGTGTTAATAAGTATTCTCACAGATAATTGATGGTTTTATTAATTTTGGAGTTATATCCAAAAAAATGTTCTTTTGCAAAGCTTTCCTCTTTCAACTGGAGGTATTAAAATTACTTCAACAAAATAGTACAGTTGTAGCAAATGGGTATGTTAAAAAGTATTATTTCACAATCCTATTTATGTCAACGGTTACGCTGTTTATTAGCTTACAAATAAAATGATGAATATATGAATTTATTCATAATATGAACTGTGTGAATGTAAATATTTTAATAAAGAATTTTTAAAACCTATGATTGTAAAGTTAATTTGCCAACATAGCTTTAGTTCGAGTACGATCTTTGTCTTGGCGTAGAAATTAGTGGCTACCCAAAATATGAGCGGTACATTTTTAGCAGTTAACACAGCAGCGGTCTGGGTTTTTTTAGTCTATGGTTTATCTTATTTTATATAATTTTAAGAAATTGTTAATAAAAAATTACATTTTTCGAAAACGAGCGGTTGCCCAAGAGTAACGATCTGATCCGAGTCCACAGGAAAAAAAAACATATTAAAACGTGGTTTTCGCTGGATAGCTTAGCATTTACTTTCTTTTAAGGTGACTGTAAAAAAGTGAAATATTTACAGAAAGCGTCCTATACACACTATAATGAAAACTAGTAAGTATCATTTTTGTAACAAATGTAAAATTCTCTGATAAAGGGGTTTTAGAAGATACCCAAAAAAATTCTTGGAAGACAATATATAGGGTCTTCGTTTCGTTCACTGACCGCTTGGCTAATAAAGACTGCGCCATATTGCCGTAGCTACGAACCATTTATAACGTGGCCCAAAACATACAGACCACCTTTTTTAAGGTCATTTATGAAATCAATTAGCGGACATGCTGATCTGGGACTGTTTACCAGCAAAAGGATTTGTGGTCTCCAGAATTTTACGTGATCTTTCCTTGAATCCAACAGCAACAGATATTTCCTAACCTAAAAGAAGAATACACTAATTATTGACCATATATATTTGTTAAATTTTTACAGTACTTTATGGCCTGTTTTGACCCCCGCTATATTTTAATTCAGCCCAGAAAACAGCAGATGAAAAACGTTATTTGTAGACTTAGATCTAAAGGTTGGTTCTTTTGTTGCAACTTGAGACATTTTCAATTTTGAAATAGTACTTTTGACAGTTTCAAAAATTTCCTGAACTCAGTATGAAAAATCAAATTTCATTATTTGATTTTTCATACTTTGTTAGTGTTGGTTAATTACTCCTCACCTGATGAAAAATAAGTGCTTGAGAAATGCTACCCCATTCAGCGCCTTTGGCCGGTGAAAACAAATGCAAAAACATCACCAACAACAGACATAACAACAAACTGCACATGGCGTAGATTGGAGATATAACAAACATCATTGTAAAGGTGCCAAGAAGACCAATGAAGGCCGTATGCCACGTGAAATAGGCGTATGACGGACGGAAATTTGGAGCACCCGCAAGTTCAAGACCTAAAGTTGTATGGTTTTTACAAATCAGTCTCAAATTTTTCTCAATTTCATCCTAACCCAAACAGGCCATATTTGTCGCCAAATAACTGAGCAGGAATAGTACAGAATTCAATTGCGCGATTAAATTAAGAGACCCAATTAGTAAAACCAGTTGAACCAGGCATGCAGATGCTAAAACCGCGGCTACAGGGTTGCCGTTCCATGTACCCCTCGGGATGAAGTTCAATAATGAACCTAAAATTTGTAAATCACCCTGTATGCAATGTTATATAAGGAACAAACAGGTATGCTGCAGTTAAACCACAGACCAATATCGGAGTCAAATAAATAAAAACACATCGGTGTAATCTTACCAAATACTTTATCCTTGGCTAAGGCCTCCAGCACTCTGGAACCTCCAATTATATTACTAAGGGCCGCAGACCATGTAGCGGTGAGTAACCCTACGGCTACACTTGGTGGAAAAACACTGACACCCGCCATGTACAGATAGTTGTTTTGCATTAGTTCGGTCGAGGTGGTCAGGGCAGTTAACAAAGATAAAATAAGATAAATAATTAATGTGAAGGTGACCGCAGATAAGGTACCTTTGGGTATTGATTTAGAGGGATTTTTTAATTCTCCTAAAAAAAAATTCATCTACAAACATGGTAAGAAAAACTGATTCAGACAGAAAAATGAATAAAACAATGTAAAAGAAGCAAAGACTCAGTTTCAACTGAAAAATGCAAATCTTAACACAAAAAAAGATTAAATAATATTTCTTCATTATTTTTCAAAAACTAGACTATATTAAGATTTGCATATGATGAACATGCAACTTTACCTAAATTTGGACAAATAACAACTTACACAATCAAACTTACCACTCATGTTTGCACCAGCCATAATTCCAGTCACCCCAGAAAATAACACCCCAAACACTGTAGCAAATGTAACCTGCCCTTTGACAATATAGTCTTTCCCATAGTGGGTATACAAATTATCCTGCAATGTCTGTAAACTTAAGCCTGTATAAGTCATATTAACATGGTAAGTGGCATTTTGCACTAAGGTATTAGAGTCGGGTATTGGTACCTATAAACCACAATCTGTATAATTTAGTCTGAAAATATTATTGTTTCTACCTCAATATGTCCTTGATACAAAAAACTAAAAATTGTGATACCCAAGCAAGTACAAACAATAGCCAACACAAATACGGAAGTTTTTGCAAACATAGATGCCCCAATGAGACATATTATGAGATTGACAACATTTAATATAGAACAGAATAAAAATTCCCACCATGAACCATCAGGTATTATCCCTTTTATAAAGTAACCTGCAAACAGATATATTTAATTAACAATTCTATAACGGCTCATATTTCAGTTTCACCTGAAGGTCCAAAATTTTCAACAAGCCCTTCCACACAGCCAGTTATACACAGAGCACTGCTCACAACGTTGGCCAGGAAAAACAAAGTACCTATGGAGCCACCCAATTCAGGTCCTAGAGTCCTACTTATCATAACTTTATTGGAGTTAAGAAAAAACATTTATAAATAATTCTCACAACACTATAAGCTGCATATTATTATTACTTAATTTTGGTATCAACCTATCTGGGTAAATGTAAAAATGCATTCACTACATCAAAATACATAACTACTCTGACAGTTCAAACATTTCAAGTAATTAAAATTAAAATAATCGTTGGCAGTCAAACATTTGCAGTCAGAAGACTTACTTGTAACTGAGAATTAATAGTGTTTAGTATAAGAATAAATTGCAGTGCAACATTAAAATATGATAATTGATAGACCAGACTTAAAAGATACAATATGCTCCACCCCCTTCAACAGCACCGTTGGTTGATATGGCACACACAGAGCTAACAGTAAATACCAGAATAGCATATGCTATAGCAAACTGGATCAGGGTTATCAACAATCCATCATTGCCAACAATATATCCTAGAACAAAGTCGTTAGTGAAATTACCTCCAAATATCACTGTTCAAATACCCATTCGAAGAAAAATTAAAGCTGAAAACATTGATAAAGTAACTGGGGCAAAAACTCCAGCAAAGGTTCCCAAAGTTCTCAAATTAGATTCTTCACTAAATAAACCAAACTCGACATAACCAGGCCCTCCGTCGCTAGAAGAAGCTTGATGCGAATTCTTGCCAAACATTCCTGTTAATCTCCTTATCATGGAATTAGAAACAAGAGGCCTATCTTCTGTATTATTAGTGGAACTTTCAGGTGCCAACATGGCCCCGCCCTAAACAGCGTATTTTCAATGAAAAACTAAATGATCTGAATCATTTTATCCTTTTGTATCATTTCATTACGTTGCTACCTAAAAAATATCTTAAAACTTTTGTTAGTTTTAATTCAAATAAAAGGCTGTCAATCATAGATGCAAAAATTGTTGTTTTCCTTTCTTCTAACCTTAATGGTATAAATTAAAATCAGTATTGCAATAGATTCCATCATAGACATTAATTTAGCGCAAATGCAGAGTAAAACTTTCATAAAACAATTATATAAATTCCATGCAGCTGATTTATGGTCTTTATTTTTTATTTGCTGGTTCTTCAAACCAAGAGCAGAGGCAACCATGACAAGAACTTAAGTAGGAAGGAAGAAGAATTTCTTGAAAAATTTTTATTCAGTGACATTTTCCTTTTCGTCGTCCATTTTACGTGTGCACGTGTTTTGAGTGCCAGTGAGCGCAAATTTATACGCCATGGCGCCAAAAGGTAACAATATGATTCCGAATGGCCATTTCCACAAGGATTGGCAGCGATTCGTCAAGACGTGGTTCAATCAACCGGCCCGGAAATTTCGCAGGCGACAGAACCGGATTAAAAAAGCAAAAGCTATAGCACCCAGGCCAGCTGCCGGCCCTTTAAGGCCCGTTGTGAGGTGTCCCACTGTTAGGTATCACACCAAAGTACGCGCAGGTCGTGGTTTCACTCTTCAAGAATTGAAAGCTGCAGACTTAAACCCCAGATTCGCTCGTACTATTGGTATTGCTGTAGACCCAAGGAGGCGTAACAAATCTGTTGAATCAATCCAAATAAATGCCCAACGTCTTAAGGAATATAAGGGTAGATTGATTCTATTCCCCATTCATGGTAAGAAGAAGCTCCGCAAGGGAGAAGCTTCTGAAGAGGAAAGGAAAGTCGCAACCCAATTGACTGGAGAGGTTTTGCCCATTAAGCAGTCCACACTGAAGATGAAAGCCAGAGTGCCGACAGAGCAGGAGAAAAAATTCAAGGCCTATGTGACCTTAAGAAAAGCACGTGCTGATGCTAGACTGGTTGGTATTCGTGCTAAGCGGGCAAAAGATGCTGCTGAAAATCCCGATGATATATCCAAAGCTGGTAAAGAGAAGAAGGCCAAGAAGTAGACCATTCTTGTTTAATTTTGTAAGAGGTTTAAAATAAAGTTTCTTAAGTGATGAATTGCGCTAATCCTTTTACCAAAATGATATTTAAATTTACTTATGAAGTAATTTTTAAATTCATTTAATGTAATAGATATTGAAAATCATCCATTAACTGCTTTTATTTTAGAGGGCACTGACCATTGACTAATGGAAAAATGGTGGTGAAATTTTGATTAAAAATTGTGCTTAAATAGAGGAAAGTGGATGAAAACATAAATTTTAATGATAAGTTCTGGTTAATTAAATATAATGACCTGGGGCCAGAATAAAAAAAAACAAATGACCAACCTAATCTTTAACAGATATAATAAATCTGCCAACAAATTAAAAAAAAATTAATAAATTAATTTTATTTGCTATGAACAATAAAAATACATGACTATCGAAACATATTTAACATTTATTTCTTCGGAATGACTTAAATTTACCGCCCTTTTTGAACTTAGGCTCTGGTTCCTGCTTTTCGATGTGCTCTTCATGCAAAATTGAAAAAAAGGCTTTGGCATCTGCTGTATTGCCCAGCAGCTCTTTCAGTTCTTCCTAAAAGCAAAACAACAGACTTAACACAACAAATTAAAAAAAACCTTACTAGTTACCTCAGATTTGCTAAGAACTTCGCGAAGCGAATGTCCTTTTCTTAGGAATTCATGAATATTCTTCATATTAAGTCCCGGTAGCTTCTCCAAAAAATCATATAGGTTTGTGTTGTATTTGCTCTCAATCAAGTCCAAGTCTGCTTCGCCGCCGCCCAAAGCCTTCGCTTCCACAACTTTGGGTTCACTTTTACCATGCTGTGGCAAAAAAAATTTTAGAATATGAAATTCTGCAATTTTGTGAAACAAGGGTGAATAAATTTGTAATAAGTAGCTTACTTTGAGTTCATCGAACAATTGAGCTGTGGCATAGGGTCCGTGTGACCAAATAATCTTCAGTTTTGGAAAATGAATAGTCAAAAGGAGAAGTTTCTGCTGAATTCCAAAGTTTTCTATGTCGTCGCCCATTATGAATTTCTGCTGCAAATATTTTCAATTAAACAATCTGTGTGTATTGAATATTTTTTGTTCAACTCAAGCATAACATGATCATTACAGATTTACCTATGGATTAATAACATTAGAAAATGATCAGTGTGACTTCCATATCCTAATTGTATAATTCAAGCAACAGGTATAATTTTGGAGATTGTGGGCTCTTAATTTAGAGGCTAAATGGTTTACTTGACTACTTGGAACTAGATAATTCATTAAAACTACAATACAAAAATTGCATGCAGTACAAATAGTTTTTCGCCCTGCACATCAAAAAATGGTCGACCCTGCTCTAAAACAACTGAAAATCTTACTTGCCAGCCAAAGGATTTGTGAACGTCAAACTCAATTAACAGCATAGGCTTAGTGTAATAGCGCATCATTTGAATGCATTGTTGATACAGTCTTCCCGAATCCAGTGATCCAATGAGATCTGACAAACTTTTTCTTTCCACACAAATTTCTGGTGTCAGAATATAATCACCTATCTAACACACAGTTTTAACACATGACCATTTCGCTGTTCAAATTCTTAACTTACAGCGAGGGTGACTGGTTCAATGTCGATACCTCGCTTGTAGATCAGATGCGGCAAGTCACTGCGAAACTCTCTCATATCGACGATGACGAGCCGTCTATGGGGTCCGTCTTCTTGACCTCCTTTACGTGTGTCTTTGCTGGGTTGAGTGATACCTCTTTGAAGCCCAGCACAGTGGTCTGATTTTCCGTCTTGATCTTCAGGAATAACCATAGTCTGGAACAAAAAGATCATTTAAAATAACAGATCCCCATATTGGGAACAACACACCACACTATATAAAACGAATCAAAATTTATTTACATACCCGTTTGGTTTCAATCAAAGTCTCGAAGGCCTCCTTTTCTCTACGCAAAGCCGTTAGGTAGGCTTGTTCTTCGACGGTGTCAGTGTGCATTAAAAAATAAATTTTACACGGTGTCTCGTTTCTTCGATGCGCCTCGTACATCTAAAAATATTTTTTTAAATATTTTAACAAATTTTCGAACAGGATCACTGACAATTTTTCGTGGACTCAAAATTGGATATTGATAAGAAATATAAAGAAACAGTTTTTCTGGATGCTTCTACGTAAGGGGAGTCGCGTTTAATGTGGTGTCATAAAAGGTGATATATTTTAGAAAGAGTCTCGGAAATGCTTCCTAATTCAGATCTAGCCAAACCATTCTAGTTTTAAAGAACACCACATTATTTTCTTATATAATAGGGGGACCGGAAAGTAATGTCGTTTTTCATAATGGAAGTCGTCAGACAATTGAAGAGCTCTCACACCAACCTTGGTGGGCCATTCAAGAGCATTTGGCACAGAGAGGTAAGTGAAGGTAAACAAGGTAAACAATGCTAATCGGATTACCACGCGCAATTTATTGCTAGAAAGTCACAAAAAGGAAGGATTTTTGGATCGCTTCATTACAGGGGTTGAGAAATGGGTCGTATATTCTAAATTTTATATGGCTCTTTTAAAAAAATTTCTATTTGACTCCACAAAAAAATTGACCAGCTCAGGATTAAGGTGGCTCCAAACCTCAATCTCCCTAACAGCTGTTACATTGCTATGGTATAAAACAATGTACTGCGGCTTGAGTATTTCCAGGGTATTCTGTAGGCTGACATAATTGTTATTAGCCTTGAACGTTTGAATGAGAATTTTTGGCCTAGTCAAGGACTCACACATCTGCGACAGATCCATATTTTCCAACTAAAAACCGCATTTTAAACTATTTTCACTTGACTCAATAATTGGTTCTACTTGAGAAACAGGTTCAAAAGTTGTGTCATTTGCACCGAAATCGTCGGAGGATTTTTCCAAAATATTCTGGCTCATCGTTAGGATATAGGTGCTTTGATATTCTTCTGTATCTTCACTTTCCTCAGTTTGATCTTCACTGCCTATATTAGTTTACTTGTTATAACTGTTTTTCAGATTTTTCACACTCATTATTATTTAGCATTTGAAACTTTAAATATAATGTTGGGCGATAGTCAAACAGAATGCTGTCTTGTATTGAAATGAAAATTTAAAGGCTAAATATTTAATAATATTTACATCTTTTTACAACTCTTATGTTCTCCCTCCCAGCAAAAGTACATTCTCAAAGAAACTGTTGTGTTACCTATTTTTTTACTGCTACCTCCCTCACTCTGTTCCTTTTTGGTTCTTTTGGTTTCTTTGGGACCAATATCGGATATTTCATCTTCTGCAAAGATATGTTGTACGTCTCCGCAACTGTCTTTAAACTGTTTACTTAAGGCTGAAAATTTAATTTTTTTTTTGAGAGCCATTGTTAAGAGATAAAGATGCGGTCCGTCAGTGAGCAACTACAATTTAACGTCGAATTAATAGTGAGTATTGGTGTAACATTAAATAAAACATACCCTACTAAGTTGGTGACACGTCTTCTGATCTGAACACAAGATCAGCACAGTGCTGTCTTTATAATTAGAGGATTTTATTTCATTGGGTATCTCTACTTTCAGAAGTTCCAGCAACACTTTCCATTTTCCACAAAATTCGGGGTTAAACTCTACAATTCATACCTATTCTCAGTTATTTATTTAAATAAACCCTTTAATATAATTTTATTACTGAAATATCTCAAGATGTTTCAAATCTACTTTCCCGTTCAGCCCATATATGTATTTTCATTATAAACATAATAAAGCAAAATATCATTAGCCGTTATCATTGTTAAGGGACATATAATAAAATACTTTAGTGAGGTATATTAAATCAAGTCTATGCCAATGGAGAATAAAACTTTTGACTCACTATTTCAATTAGTAATGGGGTTATACAGATATCTCACTAAAATCATAAATTTTTAAAATTGCATATTAGAGAAATATTGTTGAATAATAGGATTGATCTTTGCTTACCTCTGTTTCCAGAAAAAACCAGAGCTTTAGCCAAGCTAAAAAACATGTCTGCAGGTTTAAAATACACCCAGTGAGCAACACTGGTATAATCTCTAGTTTGATACTGCATCACATAGTTATAAAAGGTCACAGTATCTGAGCAAAACAGTGTCCTAAAAAGATACTATTTCTAGTGCTACTTGTACAGGGTGAATCAACAGTCACGAACCAAATAAAACAAGTGAAGGCAGAGGTCATCCTAATAAAATAAAAAAAGTATCAGCCAAAAATCCCAAAAATAAGGGACCACCATTCAAGTAGTACCTGCTTTCCTTCATATTTGTTTTATTTGTTTACATTCGCAGTCAAAATGACCAATCCCATTTTAATTTGTTTAATGACTTTTGTAACATGTATATATCTATAGCCTATTTCAGAGTTGAATCTACAAATGGTTTATTTCCTAGATATTGTGCTTTCTAGCTGATGACTAGAAAGTAGAATGATATATGGAAATATCATATTGTAAATCCACTACAATAAGCAATGGCAGAAATTGTCACAATCTTAAATTTGATAAGTGAGTATATAAATCTATTTGATTCAGTAAAGTGGAGTCAGAGTAATTGTCCAGTTACGTCATAGCATGACATCTTTATGTAGTTCATTACCGGATGTCTTAAATTTACCCAACAAACTCTTTAAATACACATTTTCTATTTCACCATAAACTTATCACTTCAACTCCGAAACACCCTGTATGATCTACTCATATCGAAGGCATGGCAAATGAACAATTAAATAAATTAGTATTCTGTGAACTAAATTTTGCTTAAACTAAGAGAGGGTAAACATCATTAAAAAGTTTGTATGACACCTACATCAACAACTGTCGCAGAGTTCTTAAGTCTGAGACCAGCTGTTTACTTTTCCCACCTAGTTGATTCCAGATTAAATCCAGTTGAGCTTGTAGAATTTTATGGAATTTTTTTATTAAGCAATTTTCAACTGTGATTTCTGGAATGTCCAGTGCATTAGTAATTTTCTTTAACTCATTTACTGTAATATTCATTAATTCCAATAATACACTTTGCAACTTTTTCATGGAATCTGATATTGGAACATGCAGTTCGATTACCTGGGGCTACAACAAATAAAATACTTCACATATGAACTTATTTTTGGGTTTCAAACTAACTTCGTATTCTTTTAAACTTTGTCTGACCAAACCATGGAACCTGGGCCATATAAAAAGCCCCTTAACAAACAGAGCTCTCATCACTTTCTCCACATGGCAATACCCCATTGTAAAGCTCTCCGGACTGTTGGTAAAAGCTTTAACAAATCCAGTCTAAAATTAATTTATGAATAGGCAAATACTGACACTTTTTCAACATACTTTGTTTCCCTGTCGAAATAACCTCAGGGCAAAAGCTTCCTGACAACTTTCAAAAATTTTATGAGCTCTTAATACAATCAGGCCAGTTATTTTATCTATGCAGATCCGATTTTTTAACAGATCAACTACCAAAATTCGAGTTGTTATGAAATGTATACCCCCAGAAAGGTATTTTTCCTCTCTATAATTCAGAACAATTACCAATTAACAACTTTCATTTTTCTAGTAATTGCTACCTATCAGCTGCATTTACACCACTATTAATGTTGTGGACATTCTCATTCTTCAATTTATCGCGAAAATATTTCTCTTCACCATCTGAAGCATTTAACACCAAAATTAAATTACCAGGATCGCAGTAAACCTTAAGAATGTTGAATATAACCAAGTCTAAATTCAATCCCCTTAAATTAGAAGAAATTACACACAGAACCGTCCAAATACATGGTCCTTTACTTGGCTACAATGGCCAAAGCGCATTGTGATCTCGGAATCATGTTTAAAAATATATCCGTTTCGAATTCAAGCATATATTCTAAATTAACGTTTTCCATTAAATTTTCTATCTCGGTATCTTCGTCCATTGTAGTATTTAGAAAACAAACTCTTTCCTGGTAATTAACAAATGCGGTTATGTTTGTCAATTCGTTGACGTTTTTAAAAGGACTCAGGCAAGATTGCTAAGATCAATTATGAAGTAACTGCCATAAATTTTTAAATCGTTTCTTCTTCTATCACATAAAGTAGGATCTATTGACTAGACCTCTAGGTGAACAAATTTGTACCCGTAAATCAATAAATAAAATAAAATTGAGAAAACGAAAGGGCCGCAAAAGATTTATGCAAAACAAATTTTTGTACAACTAACGCCGTTTTTTGAAAAGTAATGGGCGAGTCTGTTTAGTAATATTAATATTAGTGGTGTTAGAAGAACAAGAATTTATTCTATACATATTTGCACTTGACAGTGACATTGACAGTGACAGTTGTTTTTTCTCCGTTAAAAATAAGGAAAATTTGAAATTATTTCATGCCTAAAAATGAAGTAATTGCTGAGTAAAACAACAGACCATATTCCTAAAAGCAACGTTTCGCCTTTAAAATTCAAGTTTGACAGATCATATTAAAAATGCCAACGTCTCTGCTTTTTGCCATCAGTAATGAAGGCAGAGTGCATACTTTATCAACTACCGGTTCTATGTGGAGAGAATTACCTTACAATGGACAAGAATTCAAAAAATTGTGTAGCGTACCTCATTTTTTGTGGGGGTTGGGCGGTGATCATCAGATTTACGTTTATGTTCATGGACTGGATATTCCAATAAGGATTCGGGAAGAGTCCTACGAAAACGAGGTAAATTTTGAATAGGTACTGCTATTTTTTATTTTTTAGTAAATATGCTATTTTTATTAATTGATGTTGGTTTATTTATGTTGTGCTCTAAGGCTTTGTTACCGAAGGAAATCTTGCGCCTTTCTTAACTTCACTCTTGCATGAAATTTAGAATTGTATTTGGCCACGTTACGTCTGGTTAACAAAAGATATATGTTTGCAAAATGTAATATAAAATAATTAAGTTGAACCTTAAACTGCCACATTAAAATTCTTATAGGATCTTATAGAATACTTATAGCATACGTGCGATCTGATAGGAAGAAATGTTCTTTCCTATTTGGCAAAGTTTTTTCCCTGTTTCTTAGGTCAAAATTGGAATTTTATAAGGAGATAATAGAAAAAAACCTGTTACCAGCCTCTTTCAACAAAAACTGGACTGAAACATTTTACTTGTGGTGTTCTCAATTAAAGAATCTTTTTATTATTTGCGTTTTATTTGGTCGTGCCTTTCTGAAAGTTTCCAAGATCATTTGAGTAAAAAATCCATTCATAAAAATGCAAAAAAATTGATTATTTTGTGTTAGGTAAACAAATCGCAAAAATATAATAATGGTTACCCTTGATCAACATTGATCAACGATCCAAGTGTCTTCTAATGAAAGTCTTGTAGTTTCTAACAAATTTCATAACCTTGAAGTAGTAGATAGTTTCAAGTTTCGATAAGGTAAAATGAAACTTTTTATATAGATGCTAATTTTTTGTTTTTTGAATTTAACAATTCTACAAATAAATTGTATAAAAATAAGTCATCGCTCTTCTTGAGAAAAGAAAGGACAAATTTTGCTATGTATCACTTTCTCTGTCACGCTAACAACAAATATATTTGTGCACAAAAATGTTTGGGGATGCTTGTTCGTATGGCAAAAACAGACTTCATTATTACATAAAAAATTCCACACCCCTTGAAAAATAATTTTTTTCACAAATAAATCCAAACTTTAGAACAAAAAAAATTAATTATTAAGTGTTTAGCGATGGTTTCCGACAGTAGGCTTCACTTCGAAGCTGTTGCCCACCGACCGTTATCATTTTTCCGACGCGGAAGGTCTGACAGACAGATCAATAGATAAAATCCGCTTGCCATCAATGGCATGGCAATGGGAAGGAGATTGGCAGCTGGAACTCACCTTAGATGGTCAACCTTTAGACCATAATGGCTGGGCATACGCTGTGGATTTCCCTAGCACATACTTTCCCAAAAAGCAATGGACTAGTTGCGTTAGACGAAGGATCTGGGTCCGAACAGCAAAGTACTGTGCAATGAATTCGTGGTGTGCTATAGCTCCTCTGCACAAAGATGCTACTTCAGTATGTATTTTAATGTGTATATGATTTTTTTGCTGAGTCATAATATCCGTCTAAGGTATATTTATATGGTTTTCTTATGAGTAAATCACATGAGGCTCGATATTCTAAGCGCCAAAAAAGAAAGAAGCAAGGTCACCCAAAATTAGTTTCCTCCTAAACAAATGCTGAATTACCTCATTGTGAGAAACTGCTTCTACAATAAAGTTCCATTTCCATGAAGATGTTTCTGTGAAGTACGTTCCTTTTATTATCATCTTCCAAGCACACCTGTGTAGTAAATGTTGGCGATGATTTTTTGTCCATATACACATAGAGTTTGTGATTTCAGTGTAAAGTATAAACAACTCTCAAACTTTCCAGATTTGCGCTGTTTATCTATCCCTTTTAGGATGTCGATCATACTTAATGGGATTGTGGACCCATTCCCAACATCTCTCCTCCCTTATTATTAGAATGTTGGCAGTTTCTTTCTGCACCACTCCACTCTGTTGTGCGCTTTATTTATTAAGGTCCCTCCACATGTATTGTGCCTTTTGGCAACTTCTTATACTCTTATTAGAGGAGCACTCAAGTAATTTAGGTTCTTTCAGTCCTGGTGATCCAAGTGAGTACTATCCCCCTCGTCTTGTCAGTGTTTATCTTTAACAGGTTCTTCATAGCACATTTTGTATTTTCAAATAAGCCAATTGAAACTAGTATGAACAAGTTTCCTCTGCTATTCTTTTATTCCTTGCCGATTCACAGCGTAAATGCTGCAGGAGAAGCAGGGTTATGCAACACTGTTCAACTAATGTTTGTTCATAATTATTCTGAACAATTGTTATAGGAACCTTTCATAGACGTCTCTATTGGAGGACAACATGTGCCTGGAGCCGAGCCGGGAATTATGCTAGTGTGGGCTGTAACAGCCCACAACAGGGTAAGCATTAACTCTGGAATTTGGTGGATAAATGTAATTAAATTAATGAAAAAGCCTTATCTGCATGGTATGAAAATTAACATGTCGTGTCTTGAAATATGTTGTATACTTTTCTAACCATTTTACTTGTTTAGGTAATGTTTAGACAAGGTGTGAGTACCAAATCCCCTGAAGGATGCCGTTGGAACCATATCCAGGTACCGCCTGGTTGCGAAGTCAATCAGATCAGCGTAGGCCCTGCTGGGTTAGTGTGGGCGGCTCTGTTGGATGGTAGAGCGATTGTCAGAATGGGAGTCACTAGAGATAATCTGCAGGGTGAATTGTGGGTGGAAGTCCGGTGCCCAGGCGAAAACTTAAAAATTAACCAGCTTAGTGTGGGTAATTGTTCTGTATGGGCGGTGACACACGACAGACAAGTATGGTTTCGGTGAGTTATTCATTTCTTGTATTTTTTTATATTTGATATCTCGAATGGTTCAAAAAGTGAAATCAGCGGACTCTAGTGTATCTTATCTGTTGTGCATCTTTTGTGGTATAAGAGCCACTTAATAAGAAGCCATATTTTAAATTTTCTTTTTAAATTTTTGTGACAACCCGGATCAATAGTTAATAAGTACTAAAATACAAATTTAGTTTTTATTTCTATATAATCCACACATATATATTATTGTGTCATACACTTTATTATATATATCAACAATTTTCGTTATTATTTATTTATAAACCCAAAGACTAACCAACAGGCACATGGATTATACATGGTCGGGAATATAAAAGAAACTTATAATATTTCGTAAGCTAATAGACAGCAATTAAAATAATGTTGGTATATAAGTTTGGTATAGGTTTTATTTAAATAAATAGTTAGATCTAATTCTTTCTATAGAAAAAATTGCCTAGTGCGCACTCGATAAGAACTAGCATTAAAAAGACTTGTACAAGAAGGTGACAATTTTATAAAGACAAATTACATCTGGCCAATTTCTACGTGTTTCAAGCGAGGTCAATTTATAAAACTGTAGGTTATTTTCATACGTAGTGGCTGTCTCTATTACATCTAAAATTAAGGTTTCTAAGAAGCTTTTTTTGGACACTTTCTATCCGATCGACATACTTGCGATAGATCGGATTCCATACAGTGTATTCCAAGATGGATTTGATGACTTTATTATAAATTAGAATAACTGATTTGTGGTTGCTAATTATATTATTTGTATTATGTTTATATATTTTGTTCATGTAGTATATGCAATATGCAATTTGTGTCAGTACTTAACTTTTCCAAAAAACAAGAATTTACACCAGAGTGAAATTATTAGTAGGTATTTTACATATTCAACAACTCAGTTTGAAGAAGGGCAAACAATTTAAATGATTTTACAATAAAGTATGACACGCAATTTAGCCTCAAAAATCCCGAAACGGTAGAAACCTGGAAATATGATATAAAAGAATCTTCGCCATTATACGACAAAAAAAACAATCCCCTAACTACTGCATTGTCAGTTTTGATCATTAATCCGACCTTTCTAGGTTCATTCTGTATGTAAGGTGTGTCCTCGATAAGAGTTTCTCAATTTGAGGATCAACCATATTATGTCGAAATTATTTCTGTGTGTTTAGAAAGGGTATAAAGGGCGAAGGGGCGGGAATGAGCGAGGAACTAGCCGCGGGCTGCGGTTGGGTCGAGATGGTTGGTCGTATGTGTCAAATTTCTGTCACGTCCAACGACCAGGTGTTTGCGGTTGGCGCGGACGACCGCGTCATCTACTATCGAACCGGCATTTACGCCCAAGATCCGACTGGGAAACGGTGGAAGGCGTTGGCGGCTCCCTTACAAGTCAGTAGAGCTAGTAGCAACGCCAGTCTCGGTAGAGATAAATTCCATCGTAGCTTGAATCACTTGGGGGTAACTAACTGACTAATTAATTAGCGACGATTTCAGTTTTTGCTTGACGCTCGTTTGTGTGCTTATCGCTTGATCGCCGCGTAATGTTTTAACCTTTTTTAGACTGAACGTGCAAAATGATTTTAATCTAAAATTTACAGAGTCGCCCGTGTAGCATGATAGAGCAGTCCCACCTGCCGGACTTGGAGGAGCAATCACATTCCGCACCTTTGGTACCGACTTCTTTGCCGATTGGCGATTGTAAATTTGAGATTCAACCGAAGAATCCCAAAGCTTGGAGTCCAGTACACTCAGTCGGATCGATAGTTGGGACTGAAGTGCACCCAGAAACAGATGAGAGTGTATGGAGCGAATCTAGTCGGGATTCCTGTATTTTCGCGGAAGACGAGGAGATGGGCTGGGCGGAGTACGATACCCCATGGAGCTGGGTATGCGAACATCACTATTATTTAATGTTACCTTTAAAATATTCAAAAAATATATAAAACAACGCTATATTCACGAAGTTCATTTATGACATTAGTCTGAAAGTGTTTTCAAAATCCGTACCACCTATTTATAAAGATAATTTGCAACGTTGAGTCCACAGCTGAAGCTAACAAATATCCCCTCGTCCTTTAGTTTCTTACCACTGGCTGTTTCCTTCCCACGGTGGTAAGAAATCAGGGACGGAATTAACATTTCAGTTGATTTTAATTTTAGGAGGCATGGTGCCCCATTCGGTAGTGTTGTTAATTACTCCATAATTTCATTTTGTTTATGAAACTCTAACAATTTAAGTTTATTTATAAAAATGCTTATATTAAGAAATACGAAATATTTATTTTTTAGTTTTTACCTTACTCCAAAAGTTGATATTAAGCAAGATACAGGGTGTCAAAATTGAAATTTGGTTTTTTCAAATCCTGAAATAATCGAGTTTTTTGCAGAAAATAGAAAATCGGGATTTTCTGAAAAGAGAAATTAATTTTCGCTACGTAGGGTGCTACGTATGGTACTTTTCGTGCATTTGATACTTCCTAACTTTTTGTGCCTTAGTGTATGCAGATTTTTAATAAAGATATCACTTCTTACACCTTTTTTACACATTGAAAGATAGACCTTTTAAATTTCGAGCCGAGTCAATTTTAAAATAAACTACATAATGCATATAATTTGGCTAATATGGTAGTACTGATCTTAACAGCGTTTTTAATATTATTTATTTTGAGATTTTTACAACAAGAAACTGAAAAAAACTTGAAATACAAATTTAATTTTAAACTAAAGTAAAATTGAAAAACTTTTCATAAAAAAAATATTTTTCTCGGCTCTAAATATTAAAAATGATTTCCATTCACTGTGATACATTTAGGCAGATGTTTATTGAAATACTACTAACTAAACTAAACTAACCAAAACTTTTTAAAAATACCCAAGATACTGACAAACAGCAAAGAAATTCACCAAAACCTAAGTGCCTTTATCCCATTTATTTTAGTCAAAGCATACTTTGAAAAATTTTATGGGTATTTTATCGTGTCTGTTTTCCTCAGAGCCTACTCGCACTATTTTACTGTCTTTTATTGTGATTTTGTTAGTCAAAGCCTACTTTCTACATACATACACTTTTACCTTGAATTAAAGGTAGATGCTGGCGCTTGTCTAATAGAACCGAACCAACCACCCAATTGGTTCTCCGAGGCAGGTTTTGGGTCGATGCCAGAAGAATTCGAACAGCCCTGGCGTAAAAAAATCCTAGACGACTTAAAATCGCGATTACCCAACCAAGACAAGTACGGGTTATACGAAAGAGCGGTCGATACGACGTCCTGGATTCAACGGGTCGAGGCCAAAGTTAATTTGGGAAATTCCTTGTACACGGACTGCGTTCTGCAGCTTGAATGGATACAGACTGCCGGAACATTGACGATATTGAATCCCGACGGTGCCACGGCTATGGTATAAGTTGCCTTAGGCCGAACAAGAGCCCGAAACGATTGCTAGATTTTAGTATTCGTTTACCTTGGCCGACGTGACTTGCGTGCAGTTGAGTAGCGAACCTGGAAGTCCCAGGCTGTCGGTTCACACGCCCCGAAACTATCCGGCAATTGTAGTTTTGCAGTTTACCAGCGACGCTGTTTTGGAAGAGTGGCAAACTCATTTCGCTACAACCTGCGGGAAACTGCGTGATGCTTTGGGTGTGTATATTTTTCAACGATATCGATATTTATTTACTTGTTGTAAACAAATCGTCCTTAATTTGATCATTTAATTCATGTTCTTTTTTATATTTAATCCATTGTAACCATTATGCAACTCGTGGTTTTTCCAACTTAAATTTTAAATCATTTCAAGGTCAAGTTTTAAAGTCTTTTGCCAAACTAATGACTGACAATAAATAGTGATTGGGTAGACTGAGATTGACCAGTCCAATTCGCGTGATTTCAGATTTAAGTTTTAGTAGAAGTAGGTAATTTTATATTATTAAAACACGTCAGTTTAAAGATTTTCTTTTGGCAAATTATTAACCAATAACTTTTGAAGTAGCTGCAAGTTTTTAATGTGTAACTCTCAGATATGCTGACAGGCAGACGACTACTAGTCTAATATTTGATTTGCTTCCAGAGTATTTCTAGCTTTTAATTAAAATAAACTTAATACTTCTTACAAAACTTCTGTATTCCTCCTGCGTCGGTTTTTGCTGAGTCGAACTTGCGAAACGTCTCAGCAAAAACCGACGCAGTAGGAATCCAGAAGTTTTGTAAAAAGTAATAAGTTTATTTTATTTAAAAGCTATAAATACTCTTGATGCAACTCAAATATTAGAGTAGTAGTCGTCTGCCTGTCAGAGTATTACAGTAGCCTGTGGAATTTTTTTGAAAAAAAAAAACAAATTGTAAAATTATTTATTTTAATTTTGCTCAAATACTGTACTACCGATTACCGCACACGGTGCCTGTCTTTTTTTTTATTGCATAACGCAGCTCCTATTTTTTACAGTGGCGATATAGAAGTTTGATTTACTTTGCTTCTTTTTTTTTTCACCTGGATATCGTTCACTTGCTGCTTCTATATCTAAGGCAAACCCAGCGAGGAATCAGTCTGGGCTGTAACCAACCTGGGAGATGTGTTCTTGTGGGATCCCAGTCACCTCGAGGGCAACCAGCTGCGCGAGGACGACTGTTATGTGCAAAAGTACAATCTTAGCGGCAAAGAATGTCCAGTTAAGGTGGCGTTACACGTGGGCTGCATGCCCGGAACCATAATCACCCTAACCGGATGCGTGAGTGATGAAGCCGAACGTCTGGGTATCAATCTTGAAGCCCACACAACTTACAAGCCCAAACACAAAGCTTTCGCGGAATGGCAGAATGTCTGCCTTCACTTTAACCCCAGATTTGGGGAAGAATGCGTAGTTAGGAATTCAATGATAGAGGGCAAATGGGGCACCGAGGAGAAACACGGCCCAATGCCTTTCTCGAGGGGACAAGAGTTCAAGGTGCAAATAGAGAGCACTGAAGATGCCTTTATAATTTTTATAGACGACGAAAAGTTCACTAGTTATAGGCACCGATTGCCTCCGCAGTGCGCTTGTATTTTGCATTTGTGGGGTAAAATGCAACCCTTCAGGCTAGTTATCAAAAGTCCCGTGATCGCGGTAGATCCTTTAGAATTATATTGGAGACAACTAGGAGGACATTTGAGACGGGTTGAGAGTTGTAACGCAGGAGTCACTTGGGGTATCGGTTATGATCACACTGCTTGGGTATACAACGGGGGCTTCGGTGGTGGCTTTCTGGGCACTTTGGATAGTCAGACAGTACATCCAATGGCGGATTCACAAGATTACAGAGTGTACGAAAATCAAAGATGGAATCCGGTGGCGGGATACAGCGCTTCAGGTAGTTACACGCTCTAGGTTCATGAACCTTGTTATGGCATTTGTTTATTAGGTTTGCCAACCGATAGACACATGTGGAGCGACGCTAGCGGTAAGCATAAGAGGCCCAAGGACCAAGTCAAACTACTCTCAAACCATTGGCAGTGGATTTCCGACTGGATGGTCGATTTTCACGTCCCTGGTGGTGTCGATAAAGACGGATGGCAGTATGCCGTAGATTTTCCCGCTACTTATCATTCATACAAATCTTATCTGGATTTGGTTAGAAGAAGAAGGTAGATACGTATTAAATATTATTATTTTGCTTCTTAATATTCCAACCCAGCTTAACAACTGATCTTCTGGCAGCACTGGTTCACATATTAATTGGTTGTTCACGCCTTATTTTTTTCATATTTTAATTATTTGAATGTCCTAATAGCACAGGCAATTTAAGGAGGGGGAAATTTTTCATAGATGGTATAGAAGGTGCGCCATAGCCACAACTGGGCCCTGGCAAGAGTTAGGTCACACGAAACTGTTAGATGTTTCTCTTGAGCCCGTTAGCGACGAACCCGATGCGAAAATATCTGTCTGGGCTTTGGCGTCAGGTGGCCAGGCGATGGTTCGAGTAGGCGTTTCGAGAGCTAATCCATTAGTGAGTTGCTAAACCATTTGAAATTGATTTATTTTTACAACACGCTTTGTTTGGCAGGGTCACGTTTGGGAACATGTCAAAACTGACCAACCGCTCAGCAGTGTCAGCTGCGGACCATATAATCAAGTATGGGCCACAGGTAAAAAAGGCTGCGCATATGTAAGAAGATACATCACAAGAGAGTTGCTGGAAGGAGAGCGTTGGACATGTGTGGAACCTCCACCAGGGGCGCAGCTTAAGCAGATCTCGGTCAACTCGGCAGGAATATGGGCAGTGGACACGCTGGCCAGGTTAAATGTAAGGAAGGAGGTCACCGACGTTTTCCCCGAAGGTACACATTGGCAGACCATTGTGCCTGATCCGCCTATATTAAGTGAGTTAAAGTTACACTTGCGCTTGTTCACGTACAGATTGTACCAGTTACCTATTGCAATGATGTTACAGGTTCTGCACCAAACACCAAGGGTTTTAAACACGTTAGCGTAGGCAAGTCAGAGGTATGGGCGGTGACGGATGGTGGAGTTGTCGTGAGAAGATTGGGTCTTTCTCCAACCAATATTGCTGGGTCTGGCTGGGATATTGGTATCGCAGTGAGTTTGTTAACTTGGATTGATGGGTGACGATAATTAACTTGATTAATAAATTTTAGGGTAACTGGCAGCAGATTAGCATTAGAGCTTTCAGGTGAGAAAAGATATTTTTTAAGCTAAATTTTTTGGTTTGACAGCAAGCAATTGTGATCTTTGTGTTAAAAGGCCATTATTTTAATTGATATTGTATATCAGTGTCCTTCATTACATTCCAAATTAATTTAATAGTTTAAATTCACAGTTTATATAATATCTACTTAATATATTGTATATGTGAAATATTTCTGGATGCTTCCAAGAAACATGGCAGATTTTTTTGTCATTCAGTATTATCTTCGGCTGAAAATATCACCATTTATTTGAAATTTACAACGCTGTGCATTTAAATTTTAGCTTATCTTGTTATGGACAAATATACTTTATATATATTTAAAACAAAATAATGTAACAATGTTTTACTAGCTGAATATTTTATTTTATTTTTCATTGATATCTTTTGAAGTGATTTTTTTTATTATTTAAAGTGTTCATCAAATTGATTGATTGTGATATTTTATTTGTTTTAGTTAAATAAGCGCAATTATGTATTAAGTAAAATATATATTATTTTAGAAAAAAATAATGTCCCTTAATTTTGCACATTTTTTGAATTGGCAGCCAATTATTAACCTCATATTTAATAAGTCTTCCGCATATACATTGCATGCTAAAAGCCAATGGTTTTAATGCACTAGATATATATTACTTTGCCCTTCCAAGTTTGATAAAATCAGAGAGAAGTAAAACACTGGCGAAATCAATAACACATATATTTCACTTTTATTTAAACATTCCTTATAAACCCAACACATATAAACAATAAACTGTTACAAAAAATCAATTAACTGTTACTTTTTGTACACCAGATTAGGTAAAAACACTGCTGGGTGAGGTACACAAAATAAATAAATTGCGGGAGGACATAATATTAAAACGCGCGCGCCAACGATCAGGGTGCCATTTCGTTTAAAAATAAAAAAAATCAGTACATTGGTTCGCCTTCATGTTGATCACGACCTCGATGCTGACGCGCGCGTTGAGAGCACAAGAAAACGAGGAGGGGGTGCATGAATCTGTACACAACGGTGAAGGCAACATTCGTTAATGTAAATCGCAATAAAAATATTGTACTTAAGTAAGGGTTAATAATAATTCACTGGTATACGTATTGAGGCTTGTTAGACTAGTAGGTTTGCTTTTCCACGGACACACGCCGTCAGTTCTGAAATTAAAGTTTACACACTTAAAGTACCGGCTGATGCTAACGCTGACGTGCGATCCATGGATGGGGTGAAATTGATTTTATAAATTTAAAAGTTTTTAATGAACGTTTCCTAATTGTTTGCAAGTACTTTTGATTCGAAATATAGCTCCGAGCCTGTACCCTCTGCTATTTTCTTTAATGAAAAATATATCAATAAAATCGTTCAGAATGACAAAAAAATTATCGTGACAGTTTCAGCCCTTGAGTACAGTACTGATCTCATTATTGAGTGAAAACAGTCAAACAATTGAGATAAAAATATTTATCTAAATGTATTTTCGTAAAAAATTGAATTCCCTATTAAAAAAAAAGAAAACAAATCTTAAGCTTAATGCTTTAATGTTCTCTTAACAATTTTTGATAAAGTTACTATGTATAAGGTTATTCACAATTGAACTTGAAGAAAAAAATGAAATCTTTGTTTTTACACTTTGTTCGCTTAATTTTTTTAACTAAATGGATCAAATTCGAATTCTACATCATCTTTCTACACCCCATAAAAACAATTTTAAAAACAACATTATGTTGTTGTTACTATTGCATAACTCAGATTTCATGATAAATTTATAATTTTTTATAATTAAAGAATTAAAACTAACTATCCATTAGATGAAGTCACTACATTTAAGTCTTTTCATGACAATTAGGGAATTTCCATAATCACTAATGACGAAAAGTAATTACTACATTTGCTCTTCATTTCTCAATTTCTCATATTCTTCAATCAACGCTACAACACGTTGAGCTATGTCATTTGTGAAATTCTTTGCATTCCCGAAAACTTTCAGCGTTGGATTTTCTTTTGTTTTGAGTTGTTTGTTAGTTCCAAAATTTCAAAAATAAAAGTTGAATAAAGAAAACATCAATGTTTAAGGTTTGATTTCTTGACTCGGCTATTTTGAAGCCAACAATGGGATCAGAAAGAAAAATGAAAATACAAATGATAGATGTCTTTCCCATTAACATTAAGGACTCAATATTTTTTTGTCATTTGGTCTACTCTGCATACAATATTTAACGTTCTTGTTTATTGCGTTTAATCGCTTGAGGACAAAAGATACAGAAACTATATTGGCTTATACATTAGCATTTTTCCAATATTAAACTCAGCAATCAAGAATGGGAAAATTATCTTTTTAAACCAGATGTTAAAAAAACGTGATTTTGCTTCACAAAAATGTAATTTCAAGTCGCAATATCAAGTCGCAGAGCACTAGACGCTGGACATCATAAAATTACCTGCATCGAGAGCTGGGGGTTCCGTTCGAGCCGCAGTATGTGCTGCTGCGCGTGCGCCAGTTGTCTGGTCGCGCTGCCAAGCTGCTCTTCAAGCGCCGCTGCCTCGAGCGACTTCACTGACAAGCGCTCGGACAAGTCCATGATTTCATCTCGCTGCTGCCGCGCGAACTCCTGCTTGAATCGCGCCACCTCCCTTTGAACCTTAATACAAAAATAGATGCGCGTAAATTCGGCCGGTGTGCGCGGCCGCGAGGCGCTTACCTCGGCAACGTGAGCTTTTCTCATGGCATCCAAAGCCGCCAACGTGGCCTGAGTCTCTTCCGCTAGCGCTTGTTCTTTCTCCTGTTTGAGCGTTTCCACCTCACGCGCGTGCGCTTCTCTCAGTTCTTGTATCGTCCTGCGGTGCCATTGCTCCATCGAACTCAGCACCTTCTCGCACAGCCGCTGCAACTGCTGAATATCCGACTCTTGGTGTCTTTCCTTGCATGACGCCAGAGCGCATCTGTAAGCGGCTCGGAGGTTTTCGACCTGGCTCAGGTACTCAGTACCCAGGTATACCGGCCTTTGGTCGGCGCTTAACGCACCGCTACCGCATCTACGGTAAATGTTCAAATCGTCAGCATAGTAAATGTCAGAATGACGTCTCGCTCATAAACTTTGTTTACTTCTTGCTGTTGTTAGTTGCCTTGTAAAGGATTTGACAATAAAAAATCAGGAAATAATAAACTCTCTGCAAAGTCAATTTATTTTGTTAAATAAAATATTGGATCATAAATTAGAAAAAAAACAAATAAACTAGGCGATCCCTATCCCCTGAAAGTCAGCACGGTTCAGAACAGATAGATCAACCCAAACACCGATTCATTCATTTTTGCAGCAATCTATCAATTATATTGAGTCTGGAGAGCACCCTGCCACGAAATTGTGTTGAATAAGCTGGATCAATACAGAATTCGTGGAATAGCTCTGAACGGGTTCAGATCATTCTTAACAAATCCTAGGCAGTAAAATAAAGCAGTAAAAGGGCAAGGTACAGTGGTTGGCCTTGTTTTATTTATCCTTTTTATCAATAAATTCTCTGCTCTTATCAGAGTTCGCAGACGACTGTTCAAGTTTAATCTCTTCTCACTGTTATCCAACTCTTGAAGACAGAATTAATTCAGTTCTTGTACTGCTAAATAGCTGGTTTAACACCAACGAACTCTTTTTGAATGTCCAAAAAAGAGGCGTACTACCGAGAAAACATAAAAAAGCTTTCTGTGAATGTCCACTTGGCCGGGGAGGCCGTTTCAAATAAAAAAGCACGCTAAATTTTTAGGAATAGAACTCGACAAAACCCTTGGGAAACAATGCCCAATTACTTTCCTCAAAGCTGCACACTTATTGTTACCTAATAACAAAATTAAAAACTGTTTTGGATGGGAAATGCATGGCAAATTTCTACTATACTCACATCGATTCGAAATTACTCAATGGTATTCCCTTTTGGGGAAATTCAAGTCATGCGATATCTGTTTTCAAATCCCAAAAGAAAGTCCTAAGGTGTATCGCTCTTCAGGGAGTTTAAAATACTGCCTTTAGCGTGTATATTACATAGAAGTTTGTTAATGGGTGTATAAAAACAAAAAAACAATGAACACCGGTGTTAGAGTCTACAATAAACTTTCTCCAGAGCTAAAAAGCAATACCAATATAAACATTTTTAAATCCAATCTCAACTTTTTTTCTTCTACAAAACTCTTTTTATAATTTAAAGGAATATGTTTACTTATTTATGTTTGTTACCACTGTATTGTTGTGCTCTGTCACATATTTTATTAAATATGTTTTTAATGTAGTTGTCTTCCTCATTTGCGGGATCTATATTTTATCTAACTTTGACCTAGTTGACGAAATCCATAATACACTATTATTATTTTTATAAAAAAAAAAAACATATCTCTTCTTTGATAATTTTGTGGGTATTGAATAAACTATAAACCAAAATCATTGGGTAATTTTTTAAAAAAATATCGTGCAAGAGTGCTGGTTGGAAAATATTTAAAATGCGAAATGAGTTGTAAAAATTTCCATAATAATCAATCATTAAGGACTAGTGACTCTTGTTCGTGGTGCAACCCAATAACAGAAAATACTTTCCATCATTTGGCAACTTTGCGTCAATTTATTGGGCCTGATTATGCGACAACAGGGTGGGAATTCAATCCTTATGATGGTGTGTATTAAAAAACTTTATTCACTTTTTTGCTCCGTATGCTTACCTGTTTAAAGAGTCCATTTTGCCTAACGCGCTCCTGACGCCTTCCAAATGATCCCTCAACTTGCGACACCTCAAACAGACATCAGTCCAACCATTCACCGTAGTATTATTTATCTGCTCTGGTAACTTGAGACAACTTCGCAACTCGTCCACTTTCTCCCCCAGCTCATCCAGACAACTGACTACGTCGTCCAACTCCGGCATCCTTATCAATGCGAAACAATCCTTCGCGTACCTCTCTAGCATACACGTGAACTCCGACTCCAAGCTTTGGTCAATTTGTACCGGCGACTCGTTCTCCAAATACATCCAACATTTTTCGTTCTCCAGCCAATTATCCATACTCCTCGATTCCAATTTGTCCAGTCGCAAGTCTGGCGCGGTGTATTTCCCGCTTAAAACGTTGATCCGCGCGTCGATCAACGCCTTGTGGGCCACGATGTCCGCAAATTCGCAAAGGAAACTGCTCGCGGTCCTACTGGCCCGTTCCGATTCGAGGCGCCGTCTCCAATTTTGCCTCTGCAGCTTCCCGACGCTGTTTCGGTAAAGGTCCGTCAGTTGGTCTATGTTTTTGGTGATTCCGTCGAAGAGACAATCGGCGACCGAGTCCGACCACAGTTCCAATGCGGCTCGTTCCGACGCGAAAAAGCTAAAAAAGCATTCGTGGTCGGCTTCAACGTTCGATTGGTACATCTGCGCGGCCCTGAGCAGCACGTGGTTAATTTCCGACTGAATCAGTTCGGCGTTCACGATTTCCGAAGCGTACACAGTGAATTCTCGAACGGTGTCTTCTTTCAACCTGCAAGACTTATCCAGCGAGAGCCCAAACGTTTCCATGGCCAACGTATCAGCCAACTGGGGTAATTTGGTGGCTTTATATGACTCTACCAACGCGTCTAATTTTTGTTGCTCCTCTAGGAGAATGTCTATACCAGGTCCGGAATGGGCGACGAAATTCTTACACGCCTTAAATCCTTTGCTGGCCGATATCAGACACTTGGCTAGTATTCTGGAAAGGTACTCGGCGCCGGTCTTGCAAACGGGCGGTTCTTTCGTACCGCACCCGTTCAGCTTATTCTGCAACGCTATAAGAAGATGGGCGGTTTCCTTCGTCTCTTTGTCTATCAATCGCTTGCAGACAGCTTCTCCCGTTGCGGGCGAACCCAACGCTTCTTGAATCCTATGGACCAGGATGTTTTCGAACGCTATCTTCTCGGCTAGAATTTCTAAGCGTGCGGTGGCGTCCAGACGGCCGCTTTCCAGCAACAGTCTTTTTTTCTCTGCTAAATTCGACAGTTTCTCTAACAATACAGTCTGTAGTTGCTTGACCACGGCTTCGGCGGATGACTGTATTACACACGTCTCGCCGGTGCTAAGGCTTGGGTCCACCAAACTTAGGATGTGGTTCAGTTCGTTTAGCGTGGTCTCCAACGAGGCGAGCCTGTCCGCGCTCTGTGACAATCGTTTGCTCTTAAGCGAATTCAGAGCGTGCAAACACTCCACTACCTTACCTCTGGCCGAGGCCAGCGTGTAGTCCAAATCGCTACAGTGTTCCTCTTTCAGCTTGGTCAAGTCCGAAACGCTGCCGCTACTGATCAAATTCAAAGATTCGGTAGAAGCGTTCGCGTTGAGAATTTTGGTTTCTAACGAACTGAGCCTCATTAAAAGTTTCATCGGTTCGGAAGAAGTCGCGCTGTCCAAACTCTTACGCCTCAGCCGTCTCAGAGCCCTGTCGTCTATAGGCGAACTACGCTCGTTACTTCTATCCCTTTTGTACTTTCTTCTGCCATTTTTGCCTTTCTCCAGTGCCGCGATTTTGGCTTCCAACTCTGTCACTTTGTCTTCCACCTCTTTGGTAATTGAGAAGCTTTCTTTGCCTTTCAGGGAGAGCGAGCGTCGCTTCTCCCTCGCTTCCGCTTTCAGTTTGGTTCGGAGCTGTTTCTCGGCACTAGCCAGCTTCGATGTTAGGTGATCCAGTTTTCCGACGAGGACCTTCACTTCCGACCGGTGGTCCCGCTTTAGCATCTCGAAACTGCTCTTGAGGCTGTGATTCGCCAATTCGAGTCGATCGCAGGTCTCCTCCGAGTCCCTTAAAGCCCTTTTGATCGCCCTAATTTCGACTATCGCTTTTTCGAAGCGACACTTCAAGTCCAAACAGTACTCTTTCAATTCGTTTGGTCCCATTTCCTCTATATCTACGTCCAAGTCAATGTTCGTTAGATCCGTTAGTGAATCTATCCTCAAACCATTATTTTTCACGCAGTATTTATTTTCCATATCTTGAAGCCTTTTGAAAAGCCTATCATTCTCCAATTTGCTCCTCTCCAGTCTGTCGCGCGAGCCGATCAATTCCTCCTGCAACCCGGACAAAAGCAATTGTTTGGTTTGCAATTCCCTGCAAAGCGCGTTGTATTTCTCCTCGAACGTGCGAGACGCGTCTTCGGCTTCCGCCAGGCGCCGCTGGAGTACCTTTTGCTCTTTAACGAACTTCATCTCCATTTGGGAGTTCCTTTGGTGGGATTCGCGCTCGTTCTGTTCAAACGAGGCGAGCAGTTCTTTTGCTTTTATCTCGCGAATAGCGGCTTCCGATTGAAGTTTCTTCAATCTGAAACGTGGCAGATTGTTTTCAAAATTAATAATGTGCTTTGCTTTGCCTTCATATCGAAAAACCTATTTAGAAATTTCTGTAGAATTAGTTTTTTTTTGCTAATTGTTGTATTTTAAATAAAAATAAAGGCTTCAAACTGTTACTATGTTCCCAAAATTTGTCTAAGGAAACTCTCAAATATGCAAACAATCCTGAAAAATCAGTGTAGTCCATCTAACTAACAGCTAGTATTGGGTAGTACTGGGAATTGTTTTCTTGGACATACAGTTAAATACTAATGACCGATAACTTTAACAAAATATTGTTTATATTTATTATTTGTTACCTAGTAAATTTTAATAGTTTACCTTATTTGTGAACTTGATCGTGATAGATTTTGGCAACTTTTTACGTTGACAATTTTGGATATGTAATAATTTTGTTGTAGCGTTAATTAATAAACATTTTAAAAAATGGTAAATGCTTCTGTTGCATATGGGTGCACTAATGTATATGTATAGAACCGGCAAAAGAGAGTTGTTTTTATTTTTTTATTAATTATTTATTTATTTATGTTTGAACAATTTCAGTAAGAATATGAGTAAATAAAGTAATTTATGAACAAAAAAAAACAAAAATCTCCAATACTAGCAGTTTTTCTAACAAAGCAATTAACTAAATATTGTACAGGAACCAGAAATGACTTCCACTTCATTGTCACTTTCACAATGCTATACCAGCCGACATCCCCTATCCAATCATAACCCTACTTCAAATTAACAGGTACAATAGGTAAAATACTCTAATAGCAGCATGAAGCTTGAAGCTATTTTACAAAAATACTCGATTTTTAAAGAAAATTATTTTCTTTCTGTCTTCCGGAATATTAAAACAAAAGGAAAGTCGATTTTTCACGGCAAAATTCATTAAAATTTAATTTAAATTAGTGAGCAAATGAGCAATGAGAAAAATATGAATATTTATAATTGGTTGCATATTGCTACAACAATATTTCTCTTTCTATTTATTTCTGTCTTGCGGAATATTAAAGCATAAGGCAATTCCCTTTTCCACGGCAAAATTGATTTCTATATCTATTTATGCCTGTATTCCGGAATATTAAAACATTAGGATATTCCTACTACAATATTTCAGACGACTGGAGGATCGGTGGTACACTCCAAATATTTGAAAACGCAATGAAGCGATTAAAATGAAAAAAAAAGCAAATAGTGTTTTACCTCGCAATTTCTTCCTCCAAATGTGCGACCTCCTGCGTAGACTTCGCCAACTGTGTCTGCAAATCGCCGATCATCTCCTGGCTCTTGTTGATACTGTTATGCAAGTCCACAGTGTCGACGCTCTCCTTGGCACAATCTAGCTCGTCTGTAGATGTACTATCCAGAGTCGACTGTCTAGATTGACATCGGGGCAGTCTGGGTCTCAATCTAACCCTATCTTTCACCCTGATCGGCAACCTATTCAGGAGTGGAGATGACGGAAGTTCGTTCCAATCTTCGGAACCCCTTCTGCCGCCCTCGGAAGCGGTCCTGTATTCTTCGTCACTCGACAGCAAAACCGACCTAGGGGTCGGCGGCGAGACTGGGCTTTCCGCCGGTATGGGCGCGGCTTTCTTCAACGCCTGAAGCCAATTGGACCGGATCCCTTGAGTAACGGCGCTCAAAGTGACGGTTGAGCCCGCCCACTGGATTTCGAACCCGTATTTCGAGTCCGTGGGTACTTCCGAGTAACTGGAAACGGAGGAGAGTTCGATAGTAAGTTCCGGAGTGCCTTGCTCGTTCTGATCCTGATAGACGTTCAGGGTGGGACCGCACAAAACCACCCATTGACGCACCCACTCACTGTCCGCGTGTCGCAGCCATAGCCAACCTTTTTTCAGGTTTAACAGGCCTTCGGCGGGCAATGCCAGGCTGGATTCGGGCGATCTATCCGTCAGCGCTGTGGCTATGTCCCTCAAACGTTCGTTCCGCCAATCTCTTCGGGCTCGCGCTTTATCGTCACATCGTAGTTTGTCCCGGGTAGGCGGAGAACCGGAACTCACGATGTAATCTGCAAAAACGTCGATTTCGTGAAGTTAGTGAGGAACATTTAATGCAGCACCAGTAAAAATCGTACGCATTTTTGTTTCAAATTTCTATAACAAAGCGTGCTCATAAACATTCCATAGTTAACAGAGTAGCATAAATTACATTTAAAACCATTTCAACAGTTTCAATATGTCCCGTTTTCGACATGTGACGGTGAGGTATCTGATTAATTACTTTTTGTGAAAAGAAAGATGGCGCTCTAGACCTTTTCGTTTTCAAAATTTTAAAATACAAGAATCCCCTGTATGTATAAACTTCAGTGTCAATTCAGAATAATCGGGTCAGATCAAAAAGTTATTGTATTCTACCCTGTATATTATTTTCTATTTTGATATAGAATGTGGACTCTTTAAAGATATATAGCTGTGCACAGTTATAATAATGAATAAAAATAATGAATGTGCAAGAAATTTAATTCTATAAAACGAATAATAACTTTTATTGTTTTGCATTGCCATGTCAAAAATGTCAGTCTGAGAGTTGTTAGTTAAACTAAAATATAATTTACTGAAATTGTTTTCATTTTTATTGATTTTAAGTAGGAAATAATAAGGCTCTTCATAGTAAACGAAAGGTTTTAGTATTATCAGCATGGACAAGGACTGACACAACTGTACCAATGTACCAAATAAGTACCAATTCTCAAGACAGGTTAAGATTTCTGTCTCTTACAAAATCATCGATGTATTTGGTGTCAGAAAGGTAGGGAAGATTTGAAATCAACTTAAATCTCTGAAGCAGTCTTTCCATCTATTTCTTAACATTGGGAATCTAACAAAGCAGCAGAGCTGTAACCCCATTTACTAAGCTTGATTTGATTTGGGTCACTCTGCCAACGTACGAGAGATTATGTAGATAGAGGTCCACCGTGTATATTACGTTCGAACAATTTAAGAAGTAGGTAAACGCGCCGGGCTTTTTTTTTGCAATATGACGGCAAAAAAAATCCGTAGGTGTGAGTAGAGATACAAAATGCCGGAAGACAACTTGTTCGGTGTTGTAGCAGTATGTCAGTGACACAGATTCGACCCGAGCCGAAGCACGCGGAGACCGGAGAATATTTATATTTAAATGAGGGGAGAACGAGTCAGCAAAATTTTATAATTGGACACACACACACACATACAGTCCGCTAAAACGACGTTTCTTATCCGCCTGCCGTTTTATAGAACAGGGGCGTGCGCCCGCCATCTAGCACCCTGAACCTAAAGCACTAGAGTTGTTCGTGAGCAGGAGTACAGACGGGTTCCGAGCAAAATTTCATTAACGACATTCCTAATTAATACAAGATTGTCACTAACCTGCAAAATGTAGTCCATTTACACGCCAATTTGAAAAAGTCAGGGCGCAGCCTTCATTTTTATTCCTCATAATTTTATTCACTCCGTTTTCTGTTCCAATATTTTTCGCTTGCTTTTATTTTCCATTGTTTTAACTCTTTTTTTATCTACTTCTTAAAAAAAAGAAATATCGAAAAGGGAGAAGCATACAACCAATTTGTTAACATGTCTACATGTCAGTACTGATGCATTTTTCGAATTTTTGAAAATTTAGAAAGACAGGTTTAAAAAATCGGTTATTGGTAACGATACTATTTACAAATCTTCTCGTTTCCTCCTGTGTCGGTTGTTGACGAATCGAACTTGCTGACGTTTCGTCAATCATCCTGTGGGCTTCTTCAGAGCTTAACTGTACCACTACACCAATTCTCAGTTTTCGTTAAGCTTTGAAGAAGCCAACAGAATGATTTTCGAAAAGTCGGCATACCCGATTCATTAACAATCAACGCAGTGTTATAGTACTCGGAAAAAATATGCGTGACGTGCAAAGAAACATTTAATGTATCAGAAATTTAAAATATTATTTAACGGTCAAAATTTAGTGGGATCTGTTTTACACCAACGATTCCAACATTGCTCCCAGATTTAGTAATCCCCCGAATTTTTTGGTTCGTTTTCGTCTTTGCCAATTCAAACAATGCGCGTGTTTCGCATGCATGCACTCCTTTCCGCACACTGCCTCCAATTTTCGGAGGCTATTCGAATGTTTTTCGTTAATATGATTACTAAGTTACTTTCAACAACAACAACAACAAACATCGACTTCAAACCTTAACTGGAAGTTAAAGAACCTTTCTTTCCGGATATAGGTAAATTTATGAATAATGCAAGTTCCCGAGCTATAAAAAAATTGTCAGAACTGAATTACTATACACCTAGTACATACAAGTTTCTTAATTTTGATCATTCTAGACAGTTAATTAAGATTAAAAGACGTTCAACCCTAAATAATAAGTTTAGAGGAAGATAGTGATAGCTATTAAATTTATCATAAAGTAAATAGACTTATCAAAATCACTTTTTTGTTGTGTTCTGTTTAATGCTTGAACTTATTTAATCTTATTTAGACTTATTCATATACTAGCGCACTTTATTACCGACTACAATCATATAAATATTTTCATTTCACTCCCTTCCACTCATTTATTGCGGTTCCAATACGTGACCTATACAATGGGGTTTAACGAAGTATTTGATTTATTTCAGTGGAAATAAGTCATAATTCGAGCCAAACTATACTGTTTTCTTTTCTGATGTCAAAAAAGAAAATCGAATATTGCGGCTTTTGGGCCAGACAGGTTTTATCTTCACTTCAGGTGGGTCAATTGATGGAATGACTTGAAATTTTTACGCGTCGTAGTAAAATAAAGTGGTAATAATAATCGAAAAGAAAAATTATCGTGAAACGGAAAAAAATACACCGTAATGGACATTCAAAACTAGTAATCAAAAATGTATCTACAAAGAATTAATTACAGAAGTAAATTTTTCGGGCATTTTGATTTTTTCATATTGTTCTAAGCAAACGTTTTTTTGGCACACCTTAATTTAAAGAAAAAAGAATCAAACTAGTTAGATGTACTAGAGACTGAATACTTTAAAAAAGTGTTTTTTTTTTAATTTATCTTAAATCTTCAAATGCATCTACAGAAAATTGTGATTTCCAAATTTTAGAACAAAACCAAGCTTTTTTTTTGAAAATTAGTACATTTATAGAAAGCTTAAAAAGAAACCGCCTTTGCCAATAAATTTTCCTAAATTTCCAAAAACAATATTTCTATTTTTTATAAAAATTTTAACAGGCAAATGTTAAAAAACTTCGTAAATTGATTTATTTATTTTTCATGCACCAACTATCCCCAGATGAGAATTTGACGAAGTTCAATAAAAAATGTTCCCATATGATGCAGATATTGCACTATACCATATAGCTACTAGAGATATTATATTGTTAGAAACCATTGCTTATGAAGGATAATTTTATTTAAATTTACCAGTTCTATACTTAATGTTTATCACATTCTATTAGGTGTCTGTCTAAGTCAATGCATAGCCGAAACTTTCTTCAGCATCCTGTTTTTTTATTAACGTCAAACGAATAAGTCCGCCGATTACAAGAGCAGTTTTATAATGTCAGACCACTGTACCTTGAATTGGCCTACTCGCAGTCCAGACCTTAACCCGATAAATCAGCAACTTAGAGATTAACCTCCATTCGCCTCCATGGATGATGTAGAAAACATCACGGAAATATGAACAGATTTCAATCAAGAACAAATTAAACTAAATATTTATGTTTTTGTTTTAAATTATTTATTATGTAATAGACTATAATTGTTAATTTTGGTTAGTTGTATGCAAAATAGTGTTGTTAGGTTTTATGTAGACCTAAATACGAATTCCTAGACCTTTATTCTTAAAGAAATCCCTAATAGCCCTTCTCGATATTTGATATCAAAAATTATTCCCAGTTGGCCATGATTTTAGGTTGATGTAATAAGAATCATAAGGTTTTATTGCGTTTTTGAGAGATCTATCCAATAAAAAAATATATCAAAATGAAACCGTATTCAAAGATTTTACAACGATGTACACCCTGTATTGATGAAACATTATAAGAATTGTTATGGTTGGGTTCTAAGTACTCCTAAATAAGAATTCGTAGCCAATTTATTTTTTAAAAAATCCCTAATAGTACTTCTCTCAAAACAAGGTTTTAGTGCATTTCATCATCATCCAACAAAAAAAATTAACAAAGACTTCAAAAGGGTGTAGAGTTCTTAAGTGGGACACACATTTTAGTGGTGCCTTAATTTTTATGTGCAGTGTAGTTTACGTTTACTTTTGAATCACCCGGTGGGTCTCACATTTTAACCTAAAAAAAAAAAGAAGAGTAGGGAGTCCCAAAAATCGACTGCATCTCCGAACGCACCACGAATAATTTTAATAATAAACAAGAACTGGTTCCGAATTCGTTAAAAAACGAAAAAGAATTCGACGGCGAGCAGCGTGCGGGCAGGTAAAATTGCCATATTTAAAAAACGACCCATCCATCTGGCGACCTTGGGCCGGTGTGAAAGGACCGGTCAGAATGCCGAGGAATAATAATTATCGTAGACGGTCGGAGATGACGACGATAACACGATAATAGAAGCCAGTTACGTATTCAAATGGGACGCCGCGCGCCGTGCTGTGTCAATTGTTTGCAAATCACTCGGAACGACCACGTCAAAGATTGAACGGGTGGAGGCGTAAACCTTAACGTTACGTGCGAGAATATGTTTAAAAAAAAAAACGAGACCGAACTCGTCTATATGGTTTAACAAATTGTACGGGCCATAAGAAAGAAACCGCTCATTACCAAATCTTTAAAGCGCTTAGGGTAAGGTACCGATAAGAATAGACCTGTTCGTGTTGTAGAGAACACACGCAGTGAAGCCTTTGGGAACAATTGGAATAAAAAATGATAAAAATGGATAAAAAATATTAATTTATACTGTGCCTGTAGCGCAAGTCACCGCCCCAATTGAGCTACGTCTTTATCTGTACAAGCTGGGACAGATGAAAGAAAAGATAGAACCTTGAATATTTTTCATAAGAATGAATTCGTGATGGATACAGAAAAACGGAAAATGCTCATTTTCAAGTTAAGAGTCATTGTCTTTTTTACTTTTTAAAAATTATTTACGCAACGTTTCCCATTTTATATATTGGTTCTCGTACCACGCCATTATGAGAGCTGGGTATTTCTTCTTTTGCTGGCATTTTAGTCCTCCAAATACTACCTAAAATTATTCTTACTTTTAACATTAACATTTAACCGTTACCCAGCTCAACATGGTGTAAATCTCTTATGCGTTTTTACTCCATTCATATTTAAGGTTTCTGCTTCGGGTGAGATGCTTGATGGACATGGACGCAAGCGTTAGCTGACGATGAGACTGGTCGAAGCATCTATTGACGTCATGATACCTTTTTTTTATAAAAAAATATTATTTTTTTTTTTTTACATGAAATTGGTACGGAGGAGGAATTGTTTCTTGTCTCTTGAGTTTACAACTCTACTTTGAGAGGTGGACTACGTTTGTGAATATATTCAAAATTGTCTGGTTTTATATTGCCTTTCTAGGAAGGAAATGACTAAAAATCCCAAAACAAAGGGAAATTAAAAGTGATACGTTTAGTGTATAGGTAATTAAAATGCCTTATTATTCGCAGAATTTCGTATTCAATCATTCGAATACACACATTTTATCTCCATTACATGTGTAAAATACATATTATGTATGTGCATGTACATTCGGTAGGTATTTCTTTAGTTTGCTATAATCCTGTTTAACGGCACACATAAAAAATAAGTATTTTATATTATGTAGGTTTGTATTGATATTATTTTTTTAAAAGAAACTATATAAAATTGCTAAAATCCAACATGACAAATGACAAATTGAGCATAAAACCATCTAGGTTAAAAAAGTTCGCTCGGGTGTACCGGATAAAAAGAATTTGAAATCATTCCTAGGGATCCTAGAACGCGTTCCCAACGGATATTTCTTATTAATAATGTTGCTTCCACCATCTTTAAAATACTTCAAAACAACCCTTCCGGCAACAATAATTTCCCAGGCAATCAATGATTTGATTACGAGGCACCGAGTCGCAAATTAAAATATAACTTTATAATCTAATGAACGAAATGCAGTTTTTAATGTCCTCTTCGTATTTTTCCTTGAGCTCGTTCGAATTATAATTGACCTGAAGCCTCTTCTTTATAATCCGAGGTTATTACTCTCTAATAAGTCAGGTCATATGATATGCGCGCCCGCTGTATATGCTCGAGACGTTCGTATGATGATATATTATAGGTACGGACTCGCACGTAACGCGTTAAGTATTTTAGTGGTTGAATACATTTAAAGCGTCGTTGCTAACAAAAATTACTCGGCGTAAGTCTCACAGTCATGAAATTCGCAAACTGTTTCTGAAAAGAATGTTTGAAAACGCTATAAACGGTATATTTAGTGTTGTTAAAGTTTGTTTCTAAATGGTACGGAGTAATAAAACGTGAGATCCCGTTCAGTGCGATCAAATTTAAGGGTTATGCATAGGCGTAGGCAGAATATAAAAATAAAAATAACCATATAAATTTGAAATTTTGACAGTTAGTACGATTAAAATCCAAACCATGTGACCCCAAGTTCAAGGATTTAAAATTTAAAATGAAAGATATAAATTTGCTAGTTGACCCAGCCATTATGAGAGTGACCCTAGAGAGGTGACGAAAAGCTGTTTATCAACAAAGAAGAGGAAAAGATGTGGGATCTTGTTAACGCGGTTGTCTTGTGGCCTCCCGACTCCCCCCTTTTGTCCTCTTTTTAAAGTATCAGTCATGCCGGTAGGGTTTCCCCCTATTGAGTTTGAGTATTGCCGCGTCAGTGGAGTAGCTAATAAATTTAGTGTTTTGTCAAAGCGAGTGTTTTTTAATGAAAACTACGAAGCCGGTCCTTGCCAATACGCTGTGAAAATAAGATCTTTATTAATGTTCTTTTGTACATATTATTGTAAATTGGAGGGATTACAAAGAATTTGGGGTTTATTCTGTTATTTTATTTATTATTATATTATTTATATATTTTATTTAACAGAGATCCTGGCAGTAACTTTTGTATTTAACATTGATATAAGCCATAATAAAGCCGGGTCTTTTAATTGCTATAAAGCCATAATTCCTTAGGTCATAAACTGTATCAAATTTAGCTTGATCATAATAATAACCTACTATAGTTGCCGCTTATCGTGTGATAAGTGTAGAAAATTATTTTATTATTCTGGACCATAATATAGTTAAACATTAAAACAATTATATAAAATCCGCTCCTTTTCGTACTTGTCTATTACAATGAGGTTCATTTTTACATGATTTTTATAGACAAATTTAAATATACTAAACAATACAACAAATAGATGAGGGCACTTGGAGGAACCGCAATCACTTTCTTTGAAAAATGTGAGAAATCTGTTCCCAGACTCCATTTTCAAAATATTCTTCAAACTGTTGCCTTGAGCATTTTGTCGACACATGTCCAGCTCAATCAAAACTGCCAAGGATTGTATAAAAGAAGCTTTAAAAAAAAGAGGAAAATAAAAAGAAATTTTCGTTCTTGTTAACCTCGGGTTAAAATAAGACTTGCTACGTTGTTTTTTCAGTGCGTTTTCGTATAAATTGTGCAGCGAACTGGGAGAACACGTCAAGAACGAAATTCCCGAGAAATCCGCACTGAAAATTTATACTACCACTCCGCTATATTTGGCCACCGTTCCCAACTTGAAGATGACTTCTTTTTTTACCGCGTACAATGTCGACGGCCGCGTATTCGCATTTCTATGAAATTGTGTCTGTATTACTCCTGCTATATAGTGTATAGTATATTAGTATTTTTACTGCAAGTTTAAAGTCACCTCGTCGATAGTAACATATTAGCAACATAAATGGCACTCGCATGATTTATTAATAAAAATTGGAATCAATTTTCGTAGTTTCTGTGTCATTTGATTCAAATTAGGTATGCAAATTTTTTACAACATTTTTATAATTTTGGTTTAAATAATGAGAGGGCTGCTGCAATCTGACATTTCCATTGAAAAAATAAATATTTTTTAGCAAAAATGTTCTCAGAACGTTTTGATCTACATCATTATTTTTTTTTCAGGTAGTTAAAACAAATTTGTTCGACTAAACATGGAATTAACCAGTGAACATTTTCGACCAATTATTTTTCATACCTTTCGACGTGGATTATCAAAAAAAGAATGCATCGATGAACTTAATTCTTTATATGGCGATGAAGCACTATCCTACAGTACTGTGAAAAATTGGTATAACGTTTTCAATCATGGTCGACGAATGCGTGAACTGATAACGCAAGACCGTCATGTGACATATCGTGAGATTAAAGTATCCTTGGGCATTATTATACATAATTTGACAAACGCTCAAAAAAACACTCGTGTCGATTGGTGCAATAAAATGTTGAAAAAATATCAACGTGGTGCATCAAATGCGGTCTATAACATCTGCACAGGTGACAAATCATGTATCTCTATGCACAAGCATATCGAAGCAAATAGTCGCATGTTTCTTCGATATTAAAAGGCACGTGGCTTCAGCGGCGTTAGAGCACGTTGGACGGTTAACCATTTGTTTGCCAGAAGCCATCAAAAAAATTCGTCAAAATAAGTATAAGAGGCGAATCACACTTACTACTACTACATACTACCCACACATCAACTAAAACAAAGGAATTCAGGTGCCATCCGCCGTACAACCCTGATTTCGCACCTAATGACTTATTTTTATTCTCGCACATTAAAAAAGTTACATGGTCAACAATTATCTACGCCCGAAGAAGCAGTTGATGCGCTCAAACGCCTGTTTTGAAGCTAACTCAATCGGAGTGGAAAAACTGCTTCAAAGATTGATTTCAACGCATGCCAAAGTGCATTAATTTTCAAGGAGAATATTTTGCAAAACAATAAAACCAATTTGGATGATAAATATTTGTTTTTTCATCATTAAGCTAGAGATATAAGTAGCAGCCCTCGTATATCGAAAAAACTGATGCAATCTTTCTGCTAAGAATTACTGAGATTAAAAATCCAGGCGTATGACACATCCATAATATATCAAATAATTCATAACCTACTCTTCTGATATTTTGTGTTAAACAAATTACAAACCCCTTGAGTTCTCGTTTTGTCTCCATATCCAATAAAAACTAAAATTTCAATTCTCTAGGTTCGGTTTAGATATAATATATAATATATAAGTAAAATGCTACCAAAAAGAAAATCCACAGCCAATCTGAAAACAGTCATGAACTATCAGGGGCAGTGTTGATTATTGAACGCCGCAAGATCTTATTTCTTGAAAGCGACTTTTCAAATTACTACTTTCTCAGCATTTTTGATGTTGCATAAGCATAAGCAATGCCTCTATCTATATACTTAAGTGACTTTTTTTCTTGTGGAATAATTTTATTGTTCCATATCAGGTCAGTTATTTATGTCATACTATCGAAATCGTTTTCGTATTCGTATCTAGATACTCTGAGAAGCTGCATATATCAAATTTAATAGTAACTATTCTTTGCTTATTTTTTCGTTGATGCACCCTATACACTTACCTTTCCGGATCGAAGCCATACTCGTCTCAATGGCCACCACAGGGGTACGTTCTGGTACCCAATCGGGTCTCAACACTGAAAGATCCACTTCCTGTCGCTCCTCGTGCTTCAGTTGTGGCTCCAAACCGTCTATTGTATCGTTCAACTTAGATAGACTGCAATGGTCTTTCGGGGGAGAATCTCGTTCCTCTTTTAAGGGGGGAGTTTCGAAATTGGCCCTCGGACTGGGCCCCGTCACACTCAAATGTCTGTAAACAAATCAGGCTTGTAACGAAACAATATAAGGGGTGGCTCCATTTCCTTTTTAGAGGTGTAAGAGGAAAAATAACAAAATAAACAATGCTTTCAAATACCGTTTAAAAATATACAAGATAAGAAATTTTAGCATACTAATTTATTACAAAAAGCAACAAAAACTGTTAAGAATGATAATAGATTATTATTTATGTTTCAGGATGGTAAAAATTTATCAAGAATGGATAGAAAATATTATAGCACAGGTTAGAAGAAAACGTTTACGTTTTAGTTTTTTGAGATTCACGAGAAGTAACGCCCTGTATATTTAAAAAATTGTTAAGATGTTTTGTTTCTTTTTTTTCTGTGAAAATTGTGGAAAATTTAAACTAAAATTCGCACAGCGGCGTATGTTAAAAAAAAATTTGCCAATTACCCAGAAACTATTTGCCACTGATATTTTACTTTGAACGAGCGGAGCGAGTATTTAATAATCGAGGGATGCATTTTTGCAAAACAATACGAATACATTCACTGACATGACCGTCAGAATCGACAAACGTTAAAATTCAAGCCGAACGGTAAAATCTCCAAAATATCTTGGAAATGTCGGAAGGGGCGACAAGAAACTCAAGTGGTAAAATGACGCTTTCCACACGCTAGATCGATCGGTGTGTAATTAGAGAAGGGAACAGAAAAACAATAAAAATATCTTCTGTTTGCAGTCTCTATAATCGCCCACTTTTTTTTGTGTTTCTATTTTGTATATCATTTGGTACATTTCTGACCACGGTATACCAGGTTATCAGTTTAAATGTTAATTTAATCAGTTAGCAGTTCGCAAAAAAAGTGCATTATGCAACAAGTGTGGTAAACGGCATATGAGTCATGAGTTTATTTGGCACGAGCGAGCGAGTGCTTAATAAACGGAGTGACTCGGATCAGTGGCAAACGAAACTTATGTGGTAAAATGACACTCTTCGCATGCTGGATCGATAATTGTCGGTATTTTAGAGAAGGGAGTAGAAATATTCATTTTTAGTGAATTTTTTTATACAACAATTTCCACTCAAGCGGATAGATATTCTTATTTTCTTAGTAACTATATTAAATTTTCTTGTTATGAATAAATAAAAATTAATAATTATATCGGAAAGATAAATAATAAATGAACAATACTTCGAATATTTTTTATGCACTCGTCAAAATTTTGGTTGTTTGTTTTAAGTTCCAATTTGTTGAATAATTTTTTTTATTCAAAGAAATAGCACACGAAAACTTAATACCGGCTGCTTCTGACGACTAATGCAAAAAAACTATGTGCTAATTAGAAAGTCGTTAATAATATTCAGCAAAAATACCTTAATAACCATTACCATTAGAAACCTTAGTTTATAATATAAGCGATTAAGTAAACCCCAAAAAAAAATAGCTAGCAGTCCGAACTAGCTAAGCCGTTTTCACCATCTTGTAACCCAATGGTAAAGCAATTAAGGAAACTTAAAATTAAACGTTTAAAAGCCTTACTAAATTTGACTTGGCCTCTGACCATCTATTTTAGCAACAAATTTAAATCAAATAAAACGATGCCAAAGTCAAATTAATAAATTTTAAATTGTCATATCTTTCCAAATTTCTAGTATCGATATGGCTCTCGCAGCTTATTAGTAGGTAAATTACCGTGGTCGGGGGGGTTGAGGACTGGCACTGCGTCCTAATTGGGGCAAACTGGGCGAGGCTCTGCCACCAGGAAAGGTGGCGTTGCGCTTGTGACGTCTGGGAAAAACAGCCAAAATCTCCGCCCACCAGCGGGCGTCCTCGCGACTAGCAGCCTTGACGAAAGTAACCCTGTCGGGGCTCGTCAGAGCTAGAGAATGCGGATGACCCGTAACCTGGAGAAAAAGGCTCGATAGAATAAATTTTAATGATAATTTACTTGCACCTTTCCCATTCTTATTTTAAAACCTTCAATTCACTTGGGACAGTGAAATTTACGATAAAGGTTGTTTTGTTGACTATTATCATTTCGGGTGCATTTTCTATGTATAACATTATCATGAACGCTCTTTTGTAAAATACATAAAAGGTTCCGCTCATTTGAACAACTAAAGTAATTTAAACAAGGGACCGTGTGTTTTAATTGCGGTGGTTTGAAAAACCTGAAAATTTGCCTGAAATCAAATTTAATAGTAATGGTACTCACTTGTTCGGCGCCTGTCACTTCGAGAACTTTCGTCATATCCACGGAACCTTGAGGAATTGTATCCGGCTGAAAAGGTAAGAAAAAAATAATAAGCAAACAAAATCAAAACCAAAAAAGGAAATTTTAAAAAATTTTCTTTTCCTCGTCATATTGTTTCTTCCTATTTGCTCAATTCAGTTGGTGTATAATGCGTTGGCATTTTGGTATTTACATTTTTTTATCGCTAACTACAAGCAATTCTTTAGTTAAAAAACAATATAATATATAAGTTATTTATTCTTATTATGATGTAACATATAGTTTTTCTTGACTAAAATAGGTCATCTGCGAAAGTTGTGGATGTTTTCTGAAAAACTGCCGGAAAGTTTAAAAAAAATTGCGGACATTTGTAATTAAAATGGTTTGCGTGACAATCCGAAAAAGTAGTTGTTGACTTTTGGTTTCATTTCATTCATTCGGTACATTTCGTATTATTTAAAAGTTGATTTAAGTGTAATCGTGAGTGCATTTTTTAAATTTGTTTTAATCAATAATGAAACGGGACACAACGATATACATATTTTCAAAATTTAATACTGTGTAGTAGAACAGTCATGAAGCGCGTTTACAGGAAAAAAAGTCTAATTTCATCTTGAAAAGTCCTTGCGAAGACATGTTTGTATCATAATGAACAAGGAATCACTGTCTCAAACTGTGTATGGGTAATAAGAATAAGACACAACCACACGATAACTAAAGATCGGGAATATAAACGATTTTTTAATCTAGCTTTCGCCTATTGAAATTGCACAACAGCAAAGTACCCTTGAAAATTTGTTTAAAATTAAAAGTTGGAAAGTGGAACATCAAAAACATTTAAGAATTAATTCAGTTAATTTAAATTAAAATAGATGTTACTATTAGAGGCAGCTTTCGTGAAAAAAAAAACACATTTTGTTTTTTTACCTTAAAAAGGAAAGGGCATAAAACTATAAAAATTTATGGAATTATTATTTAAAAAAAAAATCGCTTTCTGCATATTTTTCCATTTTTCGAGTAGAAGAGGTTGAATTAGACAACTTCTTTTCTTTGAACGTTTTATGTTTCAGATTTGGAAACTGTTACAAAAAAAAAATCTAACCTGATTATCATTGCGTAAGTTTTTCTTTAAATTTACTTTTGGTCAGTCTTGGTTAATAATAGAGGTAGGTAGAGGTAGTCGATTCATTTATTTTGAACAAAGTATCGCCCCCTGAATTCTTTCGCACCCGATATACAGGTTGTGTCAAAAAACTGCGCCAAAGTTCAGCTGGAGAATCATCATCCGAAAAAAAAATCATATAAACGTAGGTTCGGAAATGTTCTAGTGTTAAATATTTTTTTAAAAACGGATTTTTCGCAATATTTTAATCATTTTTGCCCGATTTTGTTGAAATTTGGCAAAGTTATTTATTACGATAAAGGGCAATAGTATGAATATGAATAGTATTATCAAACATTTTGTGTACTATCTCCATTTTTTTAATTTACTTGGAATACGCCACTAAAAGTACCACTTTTTTGGTAAAGAATAAACTTAGTCCTAACCATTAGCTTCTTTACGACTTAAAGATTTTCGCACGAGCCGCTTTTATTTAAATATTTAGGACCCCTGTATTTTGGAAACCAGCTATGCTTATGGTGAACTTTTCTTCTTTATTTATAGATACTCCATATTTATATTGTAGAATGGTTATGTCTCTACAGAGTTGAATATATAAAAAGGCCTTCATTACTGGCAAGACCCAAGAGGTAGTATATGACAAAAAAAATGTTTGCTACTTTTTTAAGTGGCCCGCAGATGCTATTTGCGAACAATTAAATTCTTAAATTCTAACATGGTGTGTGTGAAAGAGTAGCCTGTGATGGTAGACCGACGTTATCTCCGATGATACCCACCGATGACAACGAAACCGGAATACACATCGAACACCTACCTCGCTTCTGACACTCCGGTGGTGTCGTGTGGAAGTGAAAGTGCCGCCGGATTTGCGCGTATAAAAAATTCGCGAAATCCAAACGCACGATACTCGACCGACATAACCGAACCGATTACCATTTTTATCGGGACTTTTTTTCGACACGATCACAAAAAGTAATTAGCATCGTGTCGCGTCGACGATTGCGATGCGTGCCGCGCGTGTGTCACTTTTACTTCCGATTAAACACTTTTCCTTTCAGATTACCCTACAATACTGGAAATACAGAATGGTTCCCGGTGGGACTTTTCACTAAAAAAAATACCTTCACGATTGGGGTTGGAGGAATAACGGGTGAATACCAGCGAATGCGTGGTAAATAGTGGAGAATGCCGTTGGGAGTCCCATTTTCGGAAAGAGATGGTAGGTTCTACTTTTCCGGCTTTTGTCATTTTTATACCTCAAAACGGAAAATTATTAATTAATGCATTTATTTATTCAGTTATTCATAATAGGAGTCATTACTAACCATTTGCTTCATCACGATACTCACAATACAGGCTTTCATTCGGTGAAAATCCAATGTTTTGAAACTTTTTCACTAGGTTCTCCTATGTATGTAATTGTTTTAAATTTTTCGTGTTCTGTATTAGGCTTCGAATAGAGTTTACTGTTGTCTGGATTTGTTTTTTATTTATAATTTTATCGATATTGGACGGATTGTAGCCGTTGTTCAGTGCAATTTGTTTAATGATATTTAGTTCTTTGTTGTAATTTTCTGTTGAGAGTGGCGTACTAAGAAGTCTGTGTATAAAAGAGTGAAATGCAGCCATTTTGTGTGTATAAGGGAGATTTGAGCTGTGATGTATGACTGTCTCCATGTGTGAAGGTTTATGGTAAATGGAAAAATCTAATTTGTTTTGCGTTTTCGTAATAGTTAAGTCTAGAAAATTAATAGAGTTATCCTGTTCAATCTCGATAGTGAATTTTATACGATTATGTATTGAGTTAATATAATTTAAAAAAGAATTCAATTGTCTGTCCGTTCCAACAAAGCAAGCAAAGACATCATCCACGTATCTATACCACCATAGAAAACTTTTACTTAAAGGATGTTCTTGTATGATATTTTCCAAATTATCCATAAAAATCTCGACTAACAAAGAATTAAGTGGGTTTCCCATAATCAAACCTTCCTTAGAGATGTAATGTAATGTAAAAGTACAGCAAAGAACTTATCATTAAATAAATTGCAGGGAACAACGGCAACGAACAATTTAAAACAATTACATACATAGGAGAACCCAGTGAAAAATTTTCAAAACATTTGTCAAAATGTGGTTTAAAAATAGCTTTCAGAAATAACAACACAATACGAAAATTTTTAAAAAACAATAAAAAAAGTATAAAATTAAATTTATTCGAAGCCATGAACATTAACAAAATTAACGAACAATTGGATTTCAATACCTCTCCATTAATAAACTTAAATTCTCACAACAACATTAATAAAGGTTTTATTGTCATTTTTTGATAAAGACACGGTGTTGTCGAAACAATTGTCATGTCAAAATATATAATTTCGTGAAAATCTGAACTTTTAGTTTCCATTCCCTTAAGGAATGGAAACTCTAATGAAATAATAGATGTTTGATTATTTCTTTTAACAAACTGGTAATTTTGATTCGTTTTAAGTGACTAGGAAGATGGTTAAAAACTTTAATAAGCAGCACCTAGGATGTCTTAGCCGAACAGGGCAGTCCACTCCTATAGGTTTTAAGAAATAGTCATGAACCTAGACACCAACTTCAATAAATGTGTCAATATGCCAATATCGTAGAAAAAATGTGTCTAGTAAATAGTTCTAAAGATTTTCTTTTGCGCAATCAACATTTAATTAATTTGTATATGCAAAGTAATGGGAAATAATATTTCTGTTGGTAAAGAGTCCAAGTTTCCATATTACAAAATAGCGTCATTCAATGCGAGGGTTCCATGATAATTGAAAGCCCAAATGCAAGCCCAAGAACTTAATTTGCAGGTGTCTGTTATTAAATGCAAACTATTTGTGAATACACGGCAAATATCAGGGCTGTATTAGTAAACAATTTAGTGGTTAAAGAAAAGCCTATTGGGGTAGCCAATACGGACCTCCGCGGAAGCAAATCTAATCGCGCTAGCAAGATTTAAATTACACTATAAAAATTCCTGTACAATACTTACATGTTCATCTACCGAATAATTTAATTCCCCGTCATCGTATAGCACGAACCACCTCCTCTGCCATCTCTGAAACAACAAAGTTTTTTTACAATTAAGTAAACATAACTTTTCGAAGAAATATTAATCATTAGCAGGAACTTTTATTTAAAACTCTGACAAATGGTACATTAACAAGCCAAATTTTTTTTTATTTTGATTTTTTTTAGAAACCATCCTGAAATTGCACGGGAAGCCGGAATGCCCATGCAATATAATTTTACAAATGACCACATACCTTTAAAATTCAACCTTTGCAGTTAATTAATTAAAATCAAATTGGAGTATGTCAAGAAATTCTGTAACGTCTTCATGCTCCAAAAATTTCAATAAAAGCAATAAATTTACGAATGGTATGCTAAAAGGACAGGACAGAGCTGCACACAGGGACACTTTTTCTAAATTTCCAGATAGAAAAGTAACGCTTCTTACAGACTTGGAAGGTTACACCGAACAATATACATAATAAAATACCGAAAAGCAAACGGCCTTTGTTGATTTTGGTGAGCCAATCAAGAACTGGAACGTTAATGATGTAAGATGAAAAATAAAGCAAACAGGAGCAGTCGTGTCTATTGTCTATATCGTCGTGTCTATATTTTTTTGGTATTTTTGTCTAGTTAAAGTAAAAAAAACTGAATTGGAAGATTTTTCGTCAGATTTTAGTATTATAATTTTTTTACCTTATTAATATTAAAATTTTTGTAAATAAAATAAATTATATTAATATGCTCATTTAATTAACAAATAAGCAATATCTTTTTGTGATAACTTTGAAAGACTCCATCCAGTAAGTGCGTGCCTTAATTTATTTCGTCACGATTAACCTTTTGCTTTTATTGAAAATTTATGTATTGGCAAGTATATTATTTATTTCTTGTATTCCATGGTTGCCCTTGATGCAGCTCCCAACACCGAAAAGCATTTTAGTTATATTGATATTATTATTAATACTGATTCCTAGCTGCTCCCTAACTGTTGAATCCTTTTGATTTGTTGAGATTTATCGGCAACCAAGCGCTGCCAATATCAAATCTACCACCCTTTCGACTTTTGAAAGACTTCGCTGGCATTAGTCCTCAAAATTAGTAATTTGCAATTAGGTCTGCTTTATTATAAAATAGGTATCCATTACAACGCACAGAAAAAATCACTCTAAACCCAACCGCAATATACAGTTCGTTAAGTTTTTTGATATATTGATTTTGTGAGCGCTATTTGCGTCATTCGACGAATGAATCGGTTAATAAATTACATTTGTTTCGCCCCGTATTGTTTGGTTTTGGACGGATCGGACGGTTCTGCATTCCGTTGTTCGATTCGGCAAGCTTTCTCTGTTCCTTCCGCGTAATTTATAGTTACTTTTTTAATATGGATATCGCGATTAATGCGTTATAGTAAATCCGTATCGATACATTTTCTTAGAAAGTGAATGATTTATATAACGATACATCTAAATAGATAAAAGGTTCAAAATACGTCTACGATTTTTAGTCACGATCAGTTCCGCAACTAGTAGTGTTTCAATAAAACGATCACACACAAACTTAGATTCCCGTGACATACTGATCTAGGATTTTTTTTACAAAATAAGTAGGAAAGTAGAACAAGCAACAAAAAACGAGGTATTTTTCAGTTTAATGTCGTTTTGCTTATTTTAACTTGTCAATAATATCAAAATTTACTTTTTTGTTGACTCGAACTTGCTAACGTTTCGACAATCATCCTGTTGGCTTCTTCAGCCATCCGAAACGGTGTTTATGACCCTGATTTGGCTCCGCCCCCCTCAAAGAATATCTAAGCAGTCAGGCTCTGAAAAAGCCAACAGGGTGATTGGCGAAACGTTATAAAGTTGAAGTCAACAAAAACCGACGAGGAATCCAGAAGTTTAATAAAAAGTATTACAGTAGCCTGTGGAAATTTCTTTGAAAAATTAATATAAAAAATTACTAGTACTATGGTAAGGGGAATAAAGCCGAGATGATTTAAAATGTGCACCGTAGCACACAAGATTAGCCTATTCTTCACTTTACGTAAAATTATCGTTCAAAAACCCTCAGTAGGTTATCGCATACTTAGCGACCTATAACACCGTTTATATATTTTTAATCGTCAACTAATGTAAAACACATTTCTTTTGGACTCATTTCGAGTTAACGCTATTAGACGTTTTATCCTGTTTTCTACTTTCGAATGCAATTAAGTCAAATTCCTACTTCTCACTTTTCAACATTTTTATTACTTACGAGAAAAAATATCGGACCATATTTTAATAATTTTATTCTCTAATGACCCAAATTTTATAATCTTCTCGCTTTTTAAAAATATTTAAAATATTAACTTAAAAAAAACTTAAAAACTTATATTCTATAATGGTGAAGTATAATCCTTGGAACAAATTCTATTGGTGCCTCCTTCCGAACGTGGAAACAGTATAATCCGAAGAAAGCAATAAAGATCGTTGAAATTTAACATACCTAACATAAATAAGTCGAAAGATGATGGATTCAACTGCATACTAATTTGATCTTATCTATCCTGTCTCAGAAACAAAGAAAAATACTTTAAGTAAAAAATAGGAGTTATAAACAAAACCGCGGTGGTTTACATAGTCCTAGAAAAGAGCAGCAACCAATACTGTTTGCATCCCTGCACTTTCATTTCGAATATCAGGGTTTCCCTTACGTCGCTACGGAAAAACAACGCCAGTGAATTTGCTTAGTTTCCACATGCAAATGAGTGCTGTGAAATATACTTTTTCTACTCCCGTCCCTAAAATACCTAATTACTCACCGATCTAGCGTGCGGGAAGCGTCACTTTACCACGTCAATTTCGTTTCCCACGAATCCGAGCCATTTCGAACATTTCCTGGATTTTACCGAACGGGTTTCGGGGATATTTCCCACGCCTTGAATTTTGACGTTTGTCAATTCTGATGGTCATGTCAGTGAATGAATTAGTGTTGTTTTGCGAAAATGTACCCAAAAACTAACGGTCGTAGAAAAAGTATAGCACGCAACACGTTCGGTAAACTTTTTAACATATTCGTTTATTAAACACTCGCTCCGCTCGTGTCAAATTAATTCGTGAGTCAAATGCCGTTTACCGCACTTGTTGCATAATATACTATTGACCTACTCGAGTTATAAAAACGATATTCCTTACACAAGATGTCGATACAGCTTTAATATATAAATATATTGGCTATTTGCACCAATCAATCAAGGATAAAGTCAAGTCAACGGGTTCTTAAATATCCAAAGAATACGCAGCTAACGTATGGTCCATTCTTTATCAGACGGTCTGTATAGATTTTGCTTGGATCGAATCGTCAAGCGATTTAACTGTTTCGCGACGCGGTGGGAGATCGCGATCGCTCAATCATTCAAATAGCTCAATAGTTTATAGTTTAGATCTTTTCACGGTCATGCACAAAACTGTACCGCATTCGGCCCACAGTTAAATCGAAAGCGAACGGTTCTTCCTGTATAACGATAAAGTTGTGTCGTTTACCAATAATTGTTCTTTTTTTGGCAAACGTAGGCGACAAACGTAAATGTAACCGCTACGGGATTCCCGGAATATCTTTTTAAAAAAATGAATTTGAGATATGGTCGGATCGTTCAAACGTTCGTGTCGTGAGCTAAATAAAAGGTGTTACAGTTGATTTCTACCGTTAGCGACTGACAATAACCGACAAATGTGCAGTCTTTGACTTGTCAGTAAAAAAAAAAGTACCTACGGCGCGGTGTGTCTTGTTTTTCTAATAGTCACTTGACTAGAAAATGTAAAAGCAAATATCACAGTTTGCCTATGTTCTTATAGGTGTAGATAGCAGCATCCAGCACGCTCAAAATTGATTACGGTTCATTGATACGTCGTTCTGTTTGTTGTTTGTTTATCTTATCTATAGGAATATATAGAATCGATTTGGGTCATACGAGCTTAACTTAAATGGCAGTCCTGTTACGTTCGGTAATTATTAAGAAAAACGCTACTTCTAACTTTTCAACATTTTTATTACTTACGAGAAAAAATATCGAACCATATTTTAATAATTTTATTCTCTAATGACTCAAATTTTATAATCTTCTTAATAAATATGCATCATAACAGTATATTATGCAACAAGTGCGGTAAACGGCATTTGACTCACGAGTTTATTTGGCATCGGAGCGAGTGCTTAACAGACTAGCGAGATAAAGAGTTTACCAAGCGTGTTGCATACTATACTTTTTCTACGACCGTCACGAAAAAATCACAATTTAACAAATTAAAAATAATAACATCGAATTACTAAATTTTGTACCATTCAAACAAAATATTTACTAGCGGCCATTAAGCCTATTAGTATATCGTTCCGATCGGTTCTGCTATTGTGGCCTCTTTTTAACTGTGTACGTTAGACAGAGAAAGATATGTCATATAAACAAGGGAATGAACACAATTTTCAAACGTTATGTTGTTTATTTAACTTTTACAATTGATCATCAAGTAGCTTATTTAAAAAAAAACTGAAATTGGAAGAAAAAATCATCCAAGGATAGAGCTTTTAAGAGGATTACATTTTTAACATCGTATTAACAAGAAAAAGCAGGTCGTAACATCAAATTTTGTATTATTTGTACCGATGATATTTGAAAATGGTACAATTGGTCTTGCCAATATATATATAGATATAAAAATATAAGATAAAAAATTATAAATGTCACTTCAATTACGGGATTTTACCGCACGGGTTTGGGAACAATCGGATGTTTTCGGAGATATTTCCCACGCTTTGAATTATGACGTTTGTTAATTCTGACGATCATGTAAGTGAATGTATTCGTGCTGTTTTTGTGAAAATGTAGCCAAAAACTAACGGTCGTAGAAAAAGCATAGTATGCAACACGTTGGGTAAACTTAAGTCACTCGTTTATTAAACACTCGCTCCGCTCATGTCAAATAAACTCGTGAGTCAAAAGAGGTTTTTCTACTCCCGTCTGTAAAATACCTATTTACGCACCGATCTAGCGTGCTTTATCAC